TTTGTTTGTTTGTTTGTTTGTTTTTGAGGCAGGGTCTCGCTAAGTAGCTCTGGCTGTCCTGGAACTCACTATGTAGACCAGTGAGTTGAACTTGAGCTCACCGAGATTCGTCTGCCTCTGCCTCCCAAGTGCTGGGATTAAACGTGCGCACCACCACGCCCAGCTGCCACCCTATTTCTGGCACTCAGATTCTAACAGGAGTGGACCTGAGGACTTTGCCAGGCTTACTCAAGTATGTGCTGTACAACTTTCCATGGTGCGCTTAATTTGATCATCATGTTAACACCCTTAAAGTCATAATGACTACTTCTCATGCCATGTGGGATCCTGTAAATTCTCATAACTTTTATGGCCACTTTTACAATACTGTCTACCTTCCATTTAAGGTTTTTTCATTTTCAGTGACTTCTTAGTGAGAGCCCCAGAGAGTCACTGGAACCACTCACTCTCTTTGTCAGAAGTTCTTAACTAGGAACAGTGCAAACCAGCTTCCTCAGTGAGTGGCTGTTTCCCATCTAGCCTTCTTAGGTGGTTGTCACCATGTATGGGCTTCATCCCACATGGCTTACTTAAACCGTGAGAACTGGACTTCAGTTAATTACCACTGTTGACTGACACATTACTGTAAGGGTGGTAGAACAGGCAGGTACAGAGAGAAACAAATAGCCAGTCTATCTTCAGGAACCCTCAAAACTCTAAAGACTCTCCAAATTAGAAACTGTATCAGAAAAATATCTATTGCTAGTATAGAATCAGGAAGGCAGCAGATAATTCATTTGGATTATCAATACACCAATGATGTCAATTCAGTGAAAATACTGTTACCTGATCCTAGCTCCTTAGGAGAGGGGTGAGTGCCCTGAGGCATAGAAAGTGAAAAAACAAAATGTGTGGTGGTGATCAATGAGATTATAATTTGTAACTAAACTGGTATATACATTTCTTCTTTATTCTAAACATGACCTACTTTGTTTTTCCATTTTTATAATAATACATAAACATATTCATGGTAAAGCAATTTTGGAAATGACTTTTCACTATTCTAGAAATCTGTTCATTCAAGAAGGGATTGTTAGGCTATGTTAGTTGAGAGAGAATTGAAACTACAAAGAAAATTGAAATTGCATACTCAGTGACATACTTGAGAACACTTGGAGAAATTCGTCTCTGTTCCCTTGGGCTCAAAATCAGAGGCAACCCTGCTTCTCTGATCAAATCCAAGGGAGAAATTTGGAGGAATTGAAACATGTGGGTGTTTTTCCTTTTGCTTTTTTTCTGTGCCTTGCCAACCATCAGATAAAACCTTTTTCATGAGAGTTTTCAGAAGTGAAGAAATTAAAATACAATACCATGCAATATCCTTCTGCCTTATTGGAAAGTTAAAACCAAAGTGTAGGATTTGTACGTGAGAACAGATCATCACATTTGGGGAGTGCAGTGAAGTACTGGTGGCAGCCTGGCCCCAGGATAGACACTTAGTAAATGGTTATTAAAGCAGCAATTCTAACTATGCAGTGGAAGGTTAGGCAGACATTAGTAATGAGGATGTCATCTCTGTTTGTCAAAAGGGATATGTGTTTATGATAGGATTGTAGTTCGATATTAATATATAAAGCAGGGCTAGAGGTGTAGCCCAGTGGTAGAGCACTTATCGTGTGTGTGAAGCTCTAGGCTCAGTGCCCAATACCACAAAATGTTTTGTGCACACACACCCAATCTACCTGAGTTTTGGAGTGATTACAACAGTAGCCCTTGGTTAATCTTCTTGTTACCTTCTTGATGCTTTTGATCTATCTCACATAGCAGTCCATGTGAGCCTGTTCAGAGAGGTAGCTGAAAGTGTGTCCCAGCATAGGTTGGCATCCTCACTGGCTTTGCATGGCTCTTAGATGCCAACAAGAGCCAACAAAGGCCTCCTGGGTCTTGTATGCTGGGGCTTTTGCCCTCTTGTCCAGCCTATGGCTTGCTTCCCGGTTGCTTTTCAGTTCCAGCACCTGCCGGGTTTGCTCTGTTCTTAGACACTTTCTGTAGCTGCTAGCTCTGCCTAGAATGCTCTTCCACTCCTACTGTGAGCCTGTCCTTCACTTTGAGGTCTCAGCTCAAATCCCCTCTTTCACCTTCATGACTTAACACTATCCTGTTAAGCTGTGTTTCCTCTTAAGGGCTCACGGATTTGTGGTTCCCTTTCCTACGAAAACGTAAGTGGTGAGAAGGCAGAATCCTTGTCTCCTGTTTTTCCTGCTCCCAACGTCATTGAAAATGATCCCACACTACTAAGTAAGCAATGAGCAAAGGTGTGGAAGGATAGTCCCCCAAATGTGAATAGTGGTTAGAGGAAGGAGGAGGACTTGAGGTGGTTGTAATTGATTTTCCCCCTCAGTTCATTGGGATTCACTCATGTCTCCAGCAGGTTCATCTGCTCCTGTGTGTTCTTTCTAATGACTCAGTGCTTAGTTAGGCTAAGGAGCTGGTTCTGAGGATCACAGACAGTTGCAGAGTGTGTAATCTACATGTGTGATGCTGTGGCTGGGCCCTGAGCTAACTCCTGCCATATGCTAAAAGCTTCATTCAAAGGGAGGAGGTTTCCCCAGGTTCTGTAGTGATTTGTCCACCCACGTCACTGGGGGGGATAAAAGCATGTGATATGCAGCTAGGCACAGATGTGCATAGCTTGATCTCCCAGGTTCCTGACCCCTGGCCCACTTGCCAGCTTTGCTCTGGCAATCACAGTGTTACTTTGCTCCAGGGAAAATCCATTATAAACAGCAGCACATGGGGCACTGGAGTGAGATTTGCTTCAGTACACTGCTGTTTTCCCAAAGATAATGTGTAGCTGTTAGTTCTATATTTAACAGTAAGGTTGGCTGGACTGTCTGCCTGTTTTCTAGAAAATAATGATAGTAATAAAATAATAATCCACACCACGGTCTGTACCTTCCTAGGCTGTCTGACTGTAATAGTAACGGAATCCCATGGGCTAACCTCTTCTGTCTTAGAAGTAACAGGCATAGTAATTTGCAGTCTTAAAACATGAAATTGTTTTAGAGGTTTGTCTCATACTGGTAAACTAAGCTGGCCTTGAACTCAGGATCCTTGTACCTCTACCCCTGGAGTGCTGGAATACACTCTTGCTCCTGTTCCCAGCCCAGAAGTTATTATTTCTGTTGTTGCTGTTCACTTGTGGTTCTGTATTTTAAAACTGAGCTGGTGCAGTGTGTGACATTTATCTGAGGGACTTTGAGAACTTGTTCAGGCTGCTGAGTAACTAAACCGAAGCAAAATTCCAATCTCTGTGGCCCTAAACAAGTAAGGCTCCCATTCATTTGTAGTGTCCATGATCCATGCTTCAACCTCCGGATTGCATTCTGGAAATATGTTCACACAGGCGATGAGAAAGGGCCTGAGGAAAACCAACAGTAAAAAATAACAACTAATTTAAAAACAGGAAGAAGTTGGCATTTCAAATATGGAGGTCTTAGTTTTCCTGGATTTGGCACTATACGTTTAGGGCCAGAGTCCCACAATGTATGCATCTTAACCCCAGGCGAGGTAAAGGCGAGTGAGTATAGTAATAAACCCTTGGTTCTCCACTCCTACTACAAATGGCAGGCACAAGCAGAAAACACTGACCTTCCTCGATGCTCTTCAAGGCCAGGCCTGTGGTATATGTGGGGTGGGGTCATTTATGTTCAGGAACCCTGTGCAGACTGCGCCACAGCAGCACCCGTAAAGGAAATGCCTTCCTTCTGGGACAAGTGCTCATCTCTAACAGCAGGGGTGACAGCAGGTCTGCAGTACCCTGCTGTGGGAAAGCTGCATGACTCTGAGGTCTCCTCAGTCTCTCGGGATCTGGTGTGGTTTTGGGGGGTGACTGACTTTTCTCCCTAGTTCCCCCACCACCACCCACATTCTTTGGCTTCCTAAAAACATCCCAGGGTTTTTGTTTTGTTTTGTTGTTGTTGTTGTTGTTTTTCAAGATACCCTGAAGAAAAGTTGACTTGTCCTTAGTAGTTGCAATACAGACCCCAGAAGATGCAAAGCCATGGTGTGTAAACGTCGTTTGGCAAGAAACACAGGGGCCTGGTGGCTGGGAGTACCAGAAGGATGCCGCCTGTCTGGCTAAAAGGCCCAGCAGTAGGGCCGGCTATTGTAAAGCCCCTCTGCCAGATGAACAGGGACCCTTCTCTGGTCACAATAGCCATTCACACTGAGCAGTCTCATTAAATATTCAGCCTGTGTTTCCGGCAGCTCATTAAGGCCTCAGCAAGCAGTGACGTGGATGCTGGCAAGCTGTGGGCTGGCCAGCATCTCAGCAGAGGCTTCGTGAGCTGCTCCTAGCCCTTCTGTTCACTGCCTGTCCTGTGATGACCAGTGTGTGCTCCCTGCTTTGCCTGAAGTACAGGTAAAACAAAGTGAAAGGAAGACGAGCAGAAACTCCTGCAGGCTTCTGCCCTGGCCTTGCGTGCTGTCTGGAGAGAGCCTCTGATTTGGGCGTGCTTATCCTATTGAAGCCCCCTGACCCCTTTAAAAGCTGTCTAAGGATTTGGGGCCTTGGCTAAGCACAGACAATGTGGTGCTATTATGCAGTTGGGTTGTTTGATGACTATATTGGAGGGGATTCAAGGTGTGGTTTTGAACTTGGTACTTGGGGAGCTAGTCAGAATAGCAGGCGGTTCCTCTATAACCCATCAGCTGTAGAGATAGTGGGTGGAATCCCCACAGCCTGTGCAGGAGGTTACTCTGTGCCGAAGTCTCACTCGTTTGAGCAGTTTGGAGCTCTGGGGTTGGGACTGGCTGTAACAGGAGATGCTCTTCAGACCTTTGGGTTCCTCCAGTGTGCCGAACACTGTGCTTGCATTTACCACTTTTCCTTGGGTTTGCCATCCATGCTATGTGATGTTTCAAGCTGGGGAAACTGTTAAAGAAGGATTTTGAGATGATAAACTTAGACAAAGTGTACTTCTGTGCTCACTGTTGGCATGTTTTCCTTTTCCACACAGAAAATGTTTCCAGACTGCTCATTTCTATGTGGAAGACAGCAGTTCACCTCGGGTGGTCCCCAACGAAAGTATTCCTATTATTCCCATCCCGGGTAAGTGAGACACCATTGTACTCCCAGTGGGTTTTCTCTTTTGTTCTCTGTTTTATGGGATTGATGTACATGATAACATATTACTTTCATAGCTGTTTGAAGCTTGCCCAGTCTAAGATATACTTCACTAAGGCTAATGTAATAAATTTTTGCCCCTTTTCATATCTACAAAGAGGTAAAATCCTCATTACAGAAGCAAATACCCATGGGTTAGTGTAGGACAACGTCACATAAGGAGAAAAAGTGGCAGCAGCAAAGTGGGAAATGCACTGATTTTAAATCACAGTTTGTAAACGTATTTTCAAAGGTGAGTTTTTCTCCAAGATTCCATAGTCTGTTCGTTTTTTGGAACTTTGGACACTTTGATAATGCTGTTACTAGCCCGGTCTGCTACAGTGCAGCCTGGAACAGTTGTGGTGTGATAAGGCCTGGCAGGACATGCTGCAGGAAGTGCAAGCAACTGCTGCAGACACTTGGAAACTTGGAGCTGGGCTGGCTGTCATAAGTAGGATGTGAGGTTTGAAGATCTCACCCACCATTTGTATTTGATCCTTTTCCTTTTGTCAGATAGGACCTTTGTACTGCTGAGGGGTGTGTGTGTGTGTGTGTGTGTGTGTGTGTGTGTGTGTGTGTGTGAGAATACATACATTCAGATATCTTATGCATCTGTCCTCCTGACATTGTTGTTTATACACAGAAGCTACTTTTAAAAGTGCTATTCCTCCATACTTGCAGCTTTACTAGTCTGCTTCATTATCACAGAACTCTTACTGGCAAATCTATTTTACTTATTTGCAGTCACTTTATCTTTAATTGGAGATGTATAAGAGCAAATGAAAGCCATAAGACTCCTTATCACATAGCAGGCAATTTTAACCTGTCAGATGGATACATGAATGTTAGCAAAACATTTAAAAGTTCGCAAAAACCATTGCATGAAGCTCAAGGAACAGCTGTTCTCTGCTATCAAAAGCCATTTTGTTTGCAGGGTGTCATGAGGTGTGGTCATAATCGGGGACTTAATTGTCCCTTAACGTGTCTATATATGTTGTCATTAGATATTGCTGGAATTGGCTATATCTAGGCAGCCTTTTCTCTCTAGAATTTGTCAAAGAGACAAGATGGATAACAGAATGACCTTGCTTGTTCCTGCTGGATAGACAGCTAAAGGGTTCAGTGCAGGCGGGGACAGGCCCTGTGATACCCTGGGTTCCTCCCACTAACTTTTATCCTTGGTGGAGGCACTGCACCTGCTACGAAGAGCCGCAGAGAGGAACGAACAGGCTTCATCAGGATGACTGGTTCATCCAGCTCTGCGCAGGACCATGTGTGTCCTCACTTTCCTCTGGTATTGCCCAGAGTGTGTGTTGACTGCTGGAAATTCCTGGGGCCACTTTCTCCTTGCTGGTGACTCATCTGACACACACAGTTTTTAGGTTTATAGACATTTGATAGTCATTTTTTTTTTTTTTTTTTTGGTTTTTCGAGACAGGGTTTCTCTGTGTAGCTTTGCGCCTTTCCTGGAACTCACTTTGGGGACCAGGCTGGCCTCGAACTCACAGAGATCCGCCTGGCTCTGCCTCCCGAGTGCTGGGATTAAAGGCGTGCGCCACCACCGCCCGGCTTGATAGTCATTTTTAAAGGATCAATCACGAGGCAGAGGAAAAGACTCACAAGTTCAAGGCCAGCCTGTGTCACACAGCAAGTCAAGCCCTTCCTAAGCTCCACAGCATGACTAATGGTGGGCATGGTACTCATGAGTAGAATGCGTACCCACATTCCTCAAGGCATGTGGTTAAACTGCAGCACCACACAGTGTTGATAATAAAAAATAACAAAGTAACCAAACATCTGGAAAGTCCCTTTGCATGATTATGTGTCTATATGTATGTGTGTATTTTTGTATGTATATACATGCATACTTGTATGCATCTGAGATGCCAGAGGTCTTCTAGACTCCTTGCCAGGTGCAATTCTTTTGAAACAACAAATCTGAATAAAATTTTCATTAGTTATTAATGAAGCATTACCAATATAGATGTCTTAGTTGGGTTTTTATTGCTGTGAAGAGACACCATGACCATGGCAACTCTTATAAAGTAAAACATTTAATGGGGTGGCTTGCTTACAATTTCAGAGGTTCAGTCCATTTTCATTATGAAGGGGCATATGGTATGTAGGCAGACATGGTGCTGGAGCTGAGAGTGCTACATTTTGAGGCAACAGGAAGTTGACTGAGGGAAGCTTGAGCAAAAGAGTCCTCAAAGCCCACCCCCACATTGACACCTCCTCCAACAAGGCCACACCTCCTAATAGTGTCACTCCCTTTGGGGGCCTTTTTTTTTCAAACCACCACAGTATATTATCTCAAAATTGTATTTACTATAATATACCATTCTTTTAGACTTGTATTATAGATAAACTTTTTAAAATTAGAAGTTAGTTCATGAAATTAACCTACTTAAAGAAGATACTGGAAGAGATTTATAGATACGAAATATGTCAAAAACAAATGTCCTTAAAAATGCTTTCTCTAGAAAACCTAACTTTAAGAAAACACTGGAAGAGATTTACAGATATGCAACATGTCAAAAACAAATGTCCTTAAAAATGCTTTCTCTAGAAAACCTAACTTTCTAATAAGCATATTACAAACCAAAATGTGGGGGCTGCCAGTAGCCCAAAAATCTAGAAATGATTCACACCTTTCCAGCAGTTAAAATACAGCTTAATAATTTGAAGGTCACTGGCTTCAGCTGGGTGCCAGCATATAAAGGGTTTTCTACGTGCTGTTTAAAACCCTTGGGATTAAATCAACCCTTTTGGCATATTTTATTTATACGAAGATTATCTCCAATGGAGATTCATTGGTGTTTTGACTATAGTGAAGCCCTTTCTTCATTGACTCCATTGTACCATGAATGAAAAGATTTTTTTTCTTTGTCAGGAAATAAAATTCTCTCATCTCCAGACACTCCTCCATCCTGAGAGTTTGATTTAGACAAACATCTGTTTATTGTTTTTCTAACTCAGGGACTAAAACCTTGACAGTGCTCTTTGCTTTCATGCTTATTTTATCTGCCTGAGTTGACACAGAGGTAACACTAAGCCTGGAACTGGAGGATGGAAGGGTAGTCAGAGGGGAACTGGGCTCTTCAGACTGAGGTCTGTCCTCTAAAGGTGTGTTTATCGGTACCTGGTGGTGTCTCGGTGGAGGAGCCTGGGGGAGGATTTGAGCAGTGATGATGTAAACGGAGCCCCGTACCAGAGTTTTGTGTGTTCTTCCTCCTGCTGGTGGAGTATGCTGGAATTGGGATAAGGTTTAGAAATCTGCTGAGGGTTAGATGAACATTGTACAGGGATTTTCTTCTTTTTTTTTCCTACAGAATAGGTAACCTAAGGACTTCTAAAATCCTAATGGTGTCTGTGTACATGCCCATCCACTTCCCAAGCCAGCAAAAGGGATCTTTTCTTAAATTGAGTTTTAGCCAGTAAACCCAGCAGCTGACAACCTGGCAAGAAGCTAAATACTTAGTACTTTTTTTACCTGGTATCAACAAGGTGGCCAGTGACCCAGTGTGAGCAAGGCTTACCATTAAAGCAAAGCTTGTCACTTCAGTTCCCTGTATGGAAAGGATCTGGTCAAATGTCAGGTCTGGAAGGCACTGCACTAAGGGAGAGCCTGGCCCTGGAGACAGCCTAGTCCCAGCAGTAGCTGAAGGACACTGGGCAAGTACCCCCATGTCTATAGATCATTTGATTTCTCCCCTGGATCTGATGGTACAGGGAGAGCAAATCGTACCAAATGACAACTCATAGTTATTAAAGTCACCAAATGCCAAGCCTCTCACAAGTCCTTACTTTGTTATTTCTGATAGCACAGTGGTTCTCACCCTTCCTAATGCTGCAGCAGTTCCTCATGGTGTGCTGACCCCAACCATAAAAGTATTTTCATTGCTACTTCATAACTGAAGTGTTGCTGCTGTTATGAACTGTAATGTAAATATCTGATATGCAACCCCTGTGAAAGGGTTGTTTGACCCTCAGAGGGCTTGAGACCCACAGGTTGAGAACAGCTGACTTAGTGACTTAGGCGTTGTGATTGCTGCCATTTCCCAGACAGAGGAAGGGAATCCCAGCGGCAGTCATAGCACTGGTCTAGCCTGGCTCTGGCTCTTCCGCTTACGCCACTGAGTGAAGATGCCTGATCTATAGAAAGAAGCTGTTAATTAGATGGGACTGATAAAATAAACATAGTTCTCCTGCTGGCTGGGTAAGATGCTGAAGTCAGGACTAGCCTTTGCTAAATTGATTTTTTTCCCTTTTCTGGTGTCAAGCCAAAGCAACAAGAATGTTAACTTTTTTCTCTTTCTATCAGATTCTCCTTAAGATAAGGAGAGAGAGAGAGAGCAAATCTGGCATGTGCTGAATGGGTTGGAGAAGCCTAAGATATTGGAGGCTTGCCTCTTCTGTTCTGAAGATGCAGGGACTTGCCGAGGATCTGTGGAATGGATTTTCTTTATGTTCAGATGCTTTGTTCTTTATTCCTAGCACTGGTGTGTGAGCTCACCATTATCTGAGCTTCGATGCCTTCTCTGAGCCAAAGTTGCTTTCTCCACTTCATTTTTCTTCACTTCATCCTCCAGGGCTCAGCTGCCGGTACCTACGGGTCAGAGAATAAGATAAGGGGGTTCTTTTGTGGATTAGCCCAGATAAAAAGACTGCTGTTTCCCTGGTTTAACTCTTGTCACAAAAGCTAAGAATGAATGATCATATTTGATAACAAAGTTCACACTTTAGATAGGAATTCTCAGTTGATTATATAAAACATTCTATAATCAAGGGATTTAGTGATAAAGAGCAGTGGCCTCATTTTCACCTAACAAATCCCAACAGAACATTCTACAAATAAAAATACTGGTACAAAATCATGTTTATTTACCAGCTTACCCAAGGCCCTCTGTTCAATGCCATGTTTTTCCTTTAAGCTATTCTAATTTTAAGAATGGAGAGAGCCCAGGCGTTGACTTGACCAGGCCAAAGCTCAGCTCTGCCATTCAGTTTAGATAATGGCCTCAAGTGTCTGCATGTGTATCACAAAGATATTTCTGTTCCTTTCACCTGGTTCTTCTAAAAAATGACTTCAAAGTGTTGTCATGGGTACAGGCTGAGTGGTTGCTCTCTTTGAATCATGCCAGCTCCATTTCCACATGTTTCCGCATATACCCTATTGATTTATTTCTGTGCCTGGAGTTTACCAACCTTTTTCCTCGATCTTCTCCCGTCACCACCACGTTAATGGCCGTCCCCCCACATCCGGTTTTCGACAGCAATAGCAGTGTTCAACCTGAGATTACACACGAGTTTTCCCTTCACTCTCTTATGTTGATTGTATTCTGACACAAATGTTGCCCATGAACAGGGACCATCTCCATAACTTCTGGCTGATCCTGGGTGCTCAGCCAATGAATGATACAGTGATTAACCACAGTGGAACATACAGTTTGGCCTTTCCCTCAGTTGGAACACTGTTATGGGTCAACAGCCAGCTGTTTAGGCCACACCCTTCTGTGATGGCTAATCTTGGTTGTCACCTTTACATACCTTGGAAAAGGGAACCTTCATTCAGGAACTGCCTTCGTCTGATTGGCCTGAGAGCACATCCGTGGGGCATTTTCTTGATTGCTAATTGATGTAGGCGGCCCAGCTCATTGTAGGTAGTACCATCCCCTAGGCACGTGGGCCTGCGCAATATAAGAACATAGATGACTGTGAACCTGGACAAGCCAGTAAGCAGTGCTTCTTCACGGTTTGTACTTCAGATGTCTTCCTAAGGTCCTGCCTTGGCTTCCAACCTTTCTTCCCCAAGGTGCTTTTAACAGAGTGTTTTATCACAGCACAGGAAACCAACCAGAACACCATTATTTAGTTCATCTTTAAGAAATTGTTTGCTTGTAAGAGGAGGATACATGTGGTACCTACACCAGGACACATATAAGGTGTACACAAAGCACTTGGTCATTCATTAGTTCTGCTGTTATCTGTAATCGAACTTGTTTAGGTAGAAATAATATCCTGTAGATAGATGTTTCCCATACTGAGTTGGATCTTTCCAGGTAAAAGCTGAGTAGATCAGGCCTGTGGTGCTGTTCAAAATTGTTGAGAAAACTTAAAAGAAAAACTGTTCAAGAGGGAGTTGACCAGGGCTTCTAGTTAATTGCTGTGTTATATTTATCTTAAGAAAGAAAAGATTTATGACCCCTCTGCTGTTTATCTTGAGTGAAGGCCAAGTGATGTGTTATCTGAGTAGTTGGCAGTGGTCAGTGCAGCGTGCCTCTGTAGACACATCTGCCTGTTTCTTACTTTCATTATGGTTTTGGTGGTGCCTGGGAACCCAGAGGGTGTGAATTAGGTGTGGCTCAGTTTCCTTGGAGAAAAACGCAAATGGGAGAAATGGTGCATCATGTATTTCCATGGTGACCATACTGAGCTCTGCTGAAGTTTTACTGCATCCTGTCATGGGGTCAACAGGCAGATTGATTTCTGGGTGTGTGACATTAGCTTGGACATTACAGTTGATCACACTATAGAAAAAAAGTAGTTTACTGTGAATTTGAAAGCATTTCTTTTAAGGATTTGCCATGGGCTGTAACCTTCAAAATGCCATGTTTTTTACCTCAGCATCTTGATGTCTTGAAAACCTTTTATGTTACATGTAAAATATCTAAATATAGCAAACATTTTTTCTCATTTTGAACCAAGCTCCATGTCATTCATCCCAGCACCATAAATTTCTGGGAATTGGAATTCCAAACAGTAATTATGGAATAAAGCATTGCTGTCATCCAGTTATTAACTGTGCTACTTTGCCCTTGAGAACCATTATATGGTTCAAATCCAAAGATGTGTTTATCCTTGGATGGTTACATTTTTGTGCATATTAATCCCTTTTTTCACCTTAGCCTGAAGGGCCTCCATTGCCACATAACTGTTATTATAGAATTCACTTACTTCTAAACATTTTAAGTGATCAGATAATTTTGGAAACTTTTCTTGAATAGCATTCTGCTAAATATTCTGGGCAAACATTTTGGCTCTTCATAGTTTGTTAATGCTGGTTACATCATGGAAGCTATAGATTTCTTGGGCATACAAAATGATTGCATATTCATGAACATCTTCAATCCTGAAATATTTGTAAATAACTTGGCAATTTTTTCATAAAGTTTCCTATTAAAGTGATTAGGACTTTAATTGTTACACAGGGAGAATTTGTGCTTGCAAAGTACAAGCTGTTCCATTGAAATAATGTTTCAATACTGAGCAACTTCGGGTATGGACATATAAATCACCTTTCTTAAACAAAGTGTAAGAGTTGCAATTTCCCACTGAAGAATGATTCAAGTTTGAAAATGTCAATAGATGCAAAAAGCCACCCTAGAGCTTTGCTCTCTCAACAGAACGTAGAGCAGGACTGACAGAGTCAATGTTAACTGTCACCAGATGAAGAGAAATCAGATTGTCAGGCCTGGATCTATGAAATTCTTGCCAAAGTAGGACCTCATTTACACATACAGATCTTCATACCCTTTGCTAAGAAAAGCATCTGCGGCAGTTTAGATGTTTGTGCCTTTGCCAAAGATCTTTCACTCTGAATAAAGTAAATGTCATGTCTGTTGTTTATCTCAAATTCAGCCGAACATTTTTTAAAGGAAATATTTGCGGGGGAGGGCTGAGGGAGGAGGAGTTAAGTGGCGGTGAGGAAGTGGGTGTGGCCATTTAGCAGAAACAGTCAAGGCTGTAAATAAACCTAAAACATGTATTAGGCTCCCGAGCTGAAAATGTCCCTTCAAGTGACAGCACTACAATGAACCAGGGTGTGTAGAGTCGTCTTCTTGAGTCTCTACCTAGGCTGTCAACACCAAAAAAAAAAAAAAAAAAAAAAATCAGCTAATTCCATCAAATCGATTGTTTGGCACCATATAGACACAGCTGTCTTGAGCTAATATTCTGAACAGTTAAGGATAGAAGGCTTTGCACAGCTGGTGCAGGGCATCCGTCCGAGAGAAGAAGACTAAATCGCCTTCAGAGACTGCTAGTCAAACCTAAGTGCTGCACACTCAAGCCCTAGCCATTGAATAATAATTAAAATTTAAAAACCCAGGAAGTGCCAAACTTCTTGGCAAATGGGTACCCTTGATAAAAGCAGACTTTTTAGCTAAGAGTATAATGTATTTCCTTTACTATGTAAATTTTCTTCAAAATAAGAGCAGAGAGGTGTGTGTGTTTTTGAAATACCTTGTTTAGCCTGGCTCGTAAGCAATTCAGAATCCTAATGAGATCTTGATGTAAAATGAAATCCAAGACCTTTCTTCAGAAATTTATTTCAGTTGATAAAATTTTATCATTTTTGTCAAATATTTATCTTATGTAGGATTTTCTTTTTTGGTATCATTTGTGTTCTGAACATATTCTATGTGATCCTGAGTATTATTTTGTTCTTCCAGATGACATGGAAGCCATCCCTGTCAAACAGTTTGTTAAACACGTCGGTGAGCTCTATTCTAATAACCAGCATGGGTTCTCTGAAGATTTTGAGGTATGTTTTAAAACTGGAAACTAATTTCTAGAAAGTCTGTTTGATCTCATAGGGGTTTTTGACAGCGGGGACTACGTTTATTCTAAGCACATCAGAACAACAACTCTGCCAACCAGAGATGTCTTTCTCTTTTCGTTGATGGTTTTCATAAACCCGTTCCGAATCCGTTGTAGAGAGAGGGGGTTCGTCCTGCCTGTCTTGCGTGTGCACATCTGTGGAAGAGTGGATATAGTGGTTAAGAAGAGCATAGTTGGCGGGGACAGCTTTTCTGGTTCTTCATCCTAAGTAGGAGCACAGTGACACTGCCCAGCTCCCTGATTCCATGTCATCTCTGGGATACGCATGGTACAGTAGAGACAGGAGGTTTGGCATCAGAGAAAGTGCAGACTCTGCCAGAAGTGAGCTTCATAAGGCCAATCGCTTCGTCTCTGGTCCCCAGTTTCCTCATCCTTAGAAAGATGGTGCTAATGTCACCCGCATTATAAAGTTGTTAGATTAAGAAATAAACATCTACAAAAATGCTGGGTTAATTATTAATTGACTGTTGTTGTTTGCGTGTGTATTAATCCTTGGAGAGAAGACGTGGGTTAGCACAGCCTTCTGATTTTAAGAGCTGGTGTGTAGGGAACAAGGTAGAGAAGTGGCGCGTCCCATTCTGCCAGCTCTGGGTTCCGTGCCAGTTCAGCAGTGACAGGGTGTCAATGAGGAGCCATTAAACAGACTGCCCTTTTCTTCACTGAGGCTCATCCCTGGCAGCAGGGGCTGTGTGGAGCAGGGCATGCTTTCATGGCAGCTCAGCTGTCTTCTAGCTGTAGGGGTGAGTGGGTTTCTTTCTCTTTCCATTTCTACTGTATAATGGAAATGATGGTGAAGATCCTTTCTTGACTCCCTCTTCAAACAATTGGTTATGTGGCTCAAATACAGTAATGGGAAGGAAGCACTTGGGGACCATGATGGACATAAAAAGCTCTGAGGTGCAATTATCTTGCATGAACAATGAGAAAAATGGGACCAGAACCCCTGTCTCTATGCAAATTTGGAATCCCCAAAGGTCATCAGAAAGGCAATTATATTGACATCTCAAGTTAAATCTTTCTGTGAGGATTTTGTTGTTGTTGTTAGTTTTACAATGTTTTTGTTTCATTTTGTTTTTTGGTTTGGTTTGGGTTTATTGAGAAAAGTGGTAGCAAAGGTAGGAGAGAGAAAGAACTTACACTTTGTGAAAATGAACAAAAGCTTGTTAAGTATTTAATACTGCTATTGTATGCTGGCCCAAAAAGGTGCCTATTCCATGACAAAGAGCATGGCTTAAGTCAAACATTTTGTATTCATGAGGACAGCAAATGTGTGTGGCGTTGAAGTGATTTAGTTCAATTGACTGTTGGCTGGATGACTGAGCAAGAATATTGAGGCATTTAACCATGTTGATGGTATTCAAGACAAACAGTTATCCTCTAGAGAACAGAATTGGATCAGGATGATCAAATGCATCTCTGGTTTCTCAATTATTTATGATTTGAGACCTCAGTGCTATTCATCACAGCTGGTTTTGACACCATTTAATTATTCAAAATAATCAGCTACACCTCTGTATACTTGATCTGACTTAACGATGGGCTTTGCTATATCAAAATCATGCCTGTGAACAAATCCTGGCATTTATTTGTGTCCTGTTTCTATCCTAAAAATATTAATACTGTGTGTGGGTTAACAGTTTAATGGCCTCTACTGAACTTTGCAGCATCAGTACCATGAGCTGGTAGTTAATGGGAGGGGATGGGGAAACTGAGTAGGAGCAGCCACTACACTTCTGCTACCGTCTCTTGGCTCCTCCTGGGGAGAACTAGAAGCTGAAGTTACTTCGAATTGGAAGAATTCTGAAAAAATAGTAAAGCACGCATAAAGGGGAGAACGGGACAGAGCAGGAGCTCACCAGTATACTGTGACCTCTAAAATTGAGCAAAACTTTGAAGTATTTTTAAACAAAAGCATTATTCCTTCTTGGTAACCGTACTAAAAGAGAAAGATAGTAACAAGCCATGTAAGAAAGTAAAGCTATTTGATAAGCAGAGGTAGTAGCTGGCCATGGAAGGAAGGACAGGAAAGGAGATCTTATGTAGTGTGAAGAATAATTAAATAATTAAAATAAACCCTTTCTTACGGTTAGAGGGTAGTAAGCTCCTCCACAGATTTCCACCCACTTGTGTGAAATAACCATGGCCAGCACTTAGCACAGTGGATTATGTCACTCCTCTGTTTGATCTCATTTCTCACTGACCTCACTTTAAAGTTGAGGAAACTTTATCCATAAGAAAACCAAGATATTAGGTGGCCAAGGTTTGAAACATGGCAGCAGAGCTTAAGACCAGCACCATCAACTTCACGCCCTGTGGTTAACCCCAGTGCCTTCCAGACTCCTGGAAGTAGTGTCTGGTAATGAGTTGGAGTCAAGAAGAATAAACAGGTTTGCTCTTTACTGCCATGTGTCTGTACCTTGGCAAAAAAATAAAATGAGGGTGTTAAGGGGCCCGCTCCTACACATAGTATGTGAGTAGTACATGGTCTTTCTATTATACAGCCTTTTTAGCCCCAAATGTGGCTTATAGAAATCTTACTCAACATCTGAACAGAAGCCTAAAGTTAATCAAATCACTGATCTTCTCGAGAATACCACTCAAGCTTGTAGTTAGTGAGACAAGGTAAAATAAATAGTATCTCCGTACAAAGATGAATTAGAATCCCTTCCTGAAAGAGCTCAGTCTGGTGGTACTAGAAAATAAGGGCAAACAAAATCGGTGCATTGCCACGGTATAGGTTGTCACTGGGTATCTCAGTGACGATTCTCCTTTCCCCATATGATTTTTCAGTCTTGGGATTAAAAAAAAATAGAGTTAGTGACTGTCATATTTTAAGAATGTTGTTGCTTAAGGGGTAATGGGAACAGCCTACTGGAGGAGTAATTTTGAGTCTGAGTTTTTGTCTAGAGGTGATGCTGAAAAACAGTGTTTTGTCTTTGTCAGATAAACGTGAACAGTCGGCAAAGCTGGTGGCATTGTGCCTCCCATCGGTTCTGCAGCCAGTGGCAGACACCGGTTCTTATCTTAGACTAGTGTTTCCTGGTTCCATTTCTCTGACTTCCTGAATGGACTAGTTCACTGGGCTTTCTGGACAGTGGGTTCCCAGCCTGATTATTTTTTTAAATATGAGAAGCCCCTTTCCCTGCCCCCACCATCATAACGCAGAAGGCTTCCTAAAGTACCGTACTGGCACAATGAGGAGAAGGCTACAATACTCCACGAACTAGTACATGGGGGTTGGAGGATGAGAAGTTGAAAGGCTGACAGAGGTGAAGCCAGAGGTCCATGGCCCTTGACATAGTCCTTTGGGGGATGACCTCTCCTCCAATTAACTACTGAGCTAAATGTGGGCTGCTGGTTGTTCATCTTAAATTAAGAGCACAAAGCTTGTCCACCTGAGCCCCGCGCAGAGGGACTAGTGGCCCCATTGTTTGTCTCATGAGCGGAGACTTTGGTGACTGCTGATAATGTGGAACAGGAAAGTCCCCAGAAGGAGGTGTACTGCTGCACAGTGACTACCACAGGATGCCAGAAATGACCCTGAAGAGCTTCTGAGCATGTGGTAGACGGTGCGAACATCTTTGAAATCCACGTTATCAAGAAAAGAACTGTCTCATTAGGGCCTTTTGTAAAGGAGTTTCATAAATTTCTGCCTGAAAGGATTTTATGTTACAGACCAGCTGTGGGACAGGGGGAAAGGGCAGCTCCTGGGAGCAAAGACCATGGATTTGGATTATGGGAGTGGAGAGATAAAAGGCAGTAAGGCCTAGGACAGGAAAACATGCCTCCTTTCTGAAAAGCATGTATTTAAGGCTAAGATTAGAACAGGCTCTGGTAGAAGATAAGACCCTGAAAAGTTGGCAGAGTCATTTGGAATCCACCTAAAGGTTCCTGCGTACTGGAGTCCTACACGGCACTGCGTGGGAAGAAAGTTAGATGGAATGGCCAAGGACAAATGGCGGAAGAGGAAAGACACACCATAACACATCTCTGTTGAGGACCAACTCCGTTGGACATTGTACCAGCTCTGGACTAGTCATGACCTAATGCATCTCATTGTCTGTGGATTTGTCCTCTTAACATACCAGGTCCAAATATTTTCTCCCAGGGTTCTTTGTTGGGTAGTCTGACAGATGTGTGGATAGTATTCGTTTGAATAGTGCCACAGAACGGCAGGCTGGCAGGCCTTCCCATGCTCTCCAGACGGCCTCTCCCCTCAACAACTCCAAGCAGGAGGAGAGTCAGCCTATTACATCTGCCAAGAATTCTGGTGATACCAAGTGTTAATATTTTCATGTTTTATTTTTAACTCATTTTTTTTCTTTTAAGCCTCTTATCTTCTCTTGACCCTCCCCTGTGGTTGTGTACCTGTCAATATCAGAATATCCACTTGTAGAATTCTAGATTGATTATATAGACAGTAAAATACAAACAGACTTAAGCTTCTCATCAGAGTGCTAATAGGTAAGTTTCCTATGTGTGCACCATCAGCGAGGGTCACTTTAAAAGGCTTTAACACCCATTAAAATCACATTAACTTTGAAATGTCAGGTCTGGTAGAGAAAAGGATCATTCCAGGATCAAATGATATTATCAGCATCTGAATGAGCCAAGCCATATTGCAAGGATTTACAGATGACATTATTATCCACAAGACAAAATCTGAAGACCTTAGCCAGACCCCATGAATTCTAAAAAATCAGATTTAGCATTACTTAGCTTTCCTTTGTTTTATGTCATTCATGTAATTGGAAACACGGAATGGAGGCAGCGCATCAGACCACGGGTTTTAGGTAACAAAGGGATTTGATTGGCTGTCTTGAATGACTGCTTCACAGAAGCAGCCTTAGTCGTTATAGTGTAGCTGAGGCCCAGCCTCAGTTCATGGCTATGGTAGTCAGATGCATATAGCAGGAGAGAGAAAAAAATCAACAGATGAAATGAATCTCAAACTAAAGAACTCAAGGCTAAAATTTCTCAGTATAAAATATCTGATCATCTCAGTACCTGCCAAAAAGGCTTTTACCCAGGAGTAACAGAGTGTTGACTCATATCTAGGATTTGTGTATAGAGTGAATTAATGCTATTCAGGATACAGAACCATTTGTGAAATGTTTTGCCTTAAACTGGCCTCACACTTTTAAGGCAATTCCAAAAGGCGGGTCCCAATACCCCAAGTATGATCAGCATTACCATGTTCTTACCATTGTCAAGATAGCAGACTCATAATCATGTACTCACACTTTTTTTTTCATTTTAGAGAAAAGAGCCAAAGGCAGCCTTACAGCCCTTTAAAGTACTGGTTGCAAACTGAGTCATAAACTAGAACAGGAGATAGCAGAACTTATCACACATGGTAGGGGTAGGAAACGGGTGAGAGTCATCAGCCAACACTTTCTCCGGAAGTTGTGGGTCAGGTTAATGCCTTTGGGGTCTTTTCTTCAGGGACAGCTGGGAAGACCTTCAGTTATGAAAAAATAAATATGAGCTTCCAGGCATTGGAGACTCAGTAATATGAACAGTTCATAACCCTTCATTTTTATACCTTAAGTTATTTTACTACAGAGTTCTTCTTTGTGGAGAAGGGACTCCTTGCTAGGAAGTACTTTGAGGTTATATGAGACAGTCAGTTCCCTGTGTTCACTGTCCTTAACGTAACTGCTATAGAAACATTCATAAATGTCACGCAGCTGCTTTGTGGAACAAAATAATCTGTCGTGTGTAAAACGTCCCCAATGGTCTTGTGACTTCACTCCTGCTCTCAGTAGCAGCTACGCACGCTAATGGCTTCCTTTAAATACTAGTTAGCTCCAGTATTTCTGTGTGTGTGAAGCATCCAGGGTAGAAGAATTCAGCTTTTCAGCGGCCTCATATTGAGCTAATAGATGTGGTTTATATCTGGGGCTGAGGAAGTGGTACAGAGCTGCTTCTGATACCGCTGTTTCTCTAGTGAAAGTTCAGTTGACTAAAACTAGAGTCCACCAACACTTAATCAGGACCAGCTGTATCTGAGCCAGTCAAGATAATTAGTCGGCTAAACACGACCGTCATGTCCTACAGACTCTTTAGTGTGTAGGGTTCTGACTATGAACCGAGGCCATGCAGCCCACAAGCACATTGCAAATCCTGGTGTATTCTCCTTCTTGGAAATTCCTGTGTATCCTTTGAGACTCAAGTGAATTGCCATGTCCTATTTTAAGCCTCCCTCAGTTCCTCTATTTTTGTTCCCATATTTTTTTCAGGCCTCTTCTCTGTTGATCACATTTGGCTAACAGTCTTTTTTTTTTTTCTTGTAGACTGTGATTTATTTAAAAAGAGATATTCTTTTGTATCTCAGCACTCCAAAAGAGATTGTTTTGTACCACTCCAACACCAGGTCAAAACTTGGAACAAAGTAGATAAATGACGAAATTAGTAAAGAATGAAGTCATACCTAATTCACATTATTCATATGCTTGCTATGATTACAGCAGTCCTCAGATCGGATTGAGCTTGAGGACATAACAGCACTGGTAGGGGCTGAGCAGGTAGCTGTCTCTGTGTGTATATAGAGGAGGGTCATACCATGTAAGATGGGGTCGCATAATAGGAATGGCCCCCATTGGGTGGTTTCATCCGAATACAAATGCCATAAAGTGAACCTAGACAAACTTAGTCTAGGCCATTCATTCAACATGATCTTGTGGTATAGTCCAGATACACAGGAAGCAAGAGTATTGAGGTCATTTTTTATATAAAAGGACATACTGCTTTACGGTATTGTTTAATGAAGTGCAGGGGCCCTGTCCTCTGTACCGTGCCGCACTTTATATGACTAGCTCACTCTAGGTCTGTTTACTTCATCGTGTTTCAGCAGCAGAGTGTGCGCTAAAATGTCCTATAGCTTCCCTGTCACTAGGCAATAAGAATTCAGTGACAGTGTGATCTTAGAGGGCCACTACCATGCATGTAGCCTGTGCTAACAGAACAGCACGATACATGGTGGCAGTTCCTTTAGTTTCTAGTGTGTCTAACACCTTGTTGGTTCTCTCTTTTAGGAAGTCCAGCGCTGTACAGCTGATATGAACATCACTGCAGAACATTCCAATCATCCAGATAACAAGCACAAAAACAGATACATCAACATTTTAGCATGTGAGTAATAAGCTTTAAACAATCTTCAACTGTGAGAAAATTAAACCTTCATGCTGCATAAAAGCCAAACAGTCAGAGCCAGAATACCGAGAAAGGCTGGTACTTGAAAGCTAATATGTCACAAGGTATATGCAATGTGGGGCATTTTTTGCCCCTGTGGTCTTTCTTTGGACTGTCAAAACTCAGAGAGGTTAATAAAGTGACTAAAAGAAACTGTTCTGGGCTTTTGTATTTTCACAGGAGGTGATGTCATATCAGATCTTGGGAGCCAAAGTATGAATGTAATATGGCTATCTCGACATTTGTTTTTAACCAGTGAGAGGAAAGTCTTTTTAATACAAATTTGGAAAACTGAGTCAAATACGCCCAACTTTAAAACAGTTTAAAATTATAACTGCATGGTGCTTTGGAAAATGGAGGGACCAATTTCATGGCTAACACATACTATAATAAAGACCATATTACACAAAATAGTTTATCTGAGGACTTTAGATTGGACCACTTAAAGTTTGAACATTGCTATAAAGATTTTTTAATAAAATGTTAATGAGATCATCTATGTGTAACACAAATCTTAAAGGGTCTTATTAATAAAAATCCTGGGAGCCAGGTATTGGGGTGAATTCCAAAAGATCAGAGGAACAGAACAAGCTACAGCCAACCTCACCTGGATAACTTCTCATCCAGTTCTGTTTCCACGAATCCTCAGACTGAAAGCTTCTGAGTCTTCACCCAAATGGATCTCAGCTAAACTACTGCTAAAAGCCTAAAAGTTTAAAAGCCTCTAGTTCCTGGACCTCACACCTTATATACCTTTCTGCTTCCTGCCATCATTTCCTGGGGCTAAAGGCGTGTGTCTTTCCCAAGCAAGACATGAGATCTCAAGTCCTGGCATGAAAGGAGTGTGCCACCACACCTGGCTTTGTTCCTAGTGTGGCCTTGAACTCACAGAGATCTGGATGGATCTCTGCCTCCCGAGTGATAGGATTAAAGGCATGTGCCACCACTAATCTAGTGGCTGTCTCTGTCCTCTGATCCCCAGATAAGTTTTATTTATTAGAGCACAGATAAAATATCACCATATCTACGTGCAATTTAAAGTATACAGTTCAGTGGATTTATTCAGGGATTATGTCATAACCACAATCTAATTTTCTAGTATCTCTAGCAACAAGAAACTCAATGACTGTTAACTGACACCCTTCTCCCCTGAAATTAGTTACTACCTTCTACCTCTCAGGATTTGGATTTTCTGGACAGTCCCTGTGGATGGAATCATACATGTGAAGCCTTTGTGTCTGGCTTCTCCCACTTAGCATCTTTTTAGAGTTCCTCCATGTTGTACTATGTATCAGTGAATCCGTTCACTTTTAATACTCCATAGCATAGATGTATGATATTTTGATTATCCATTCATCATTTGATAGATGTTTGAGTTTTATCAACTTGAGGCTATTAAGAATAATGCTGTTAGAAACGTTCACAGACAAGGCTTTATGTAGATCTGTTTTCTGCTTTCTTGGGTGCATCATAGGAGTGGAGTTGCTGGCTTATGGATGAGCCCGTGTTCAACGTTTAGTAGAGCTGACAGGCTTCTTCCCAAGTGCCTGTGCTGAGCTCCACTCTCCCCGGCAGTGAAGGAGAGGTCCAGTGGCTCCGAGTTTTTACAGAAGCATCCTGTTTTGTTTTGTGGAGGGAGTCTTCTGAACCATGAGATGGGAAGCACCGATGTACATTTCTCTAGTGATTGCCCGAGTGGCCAGTGGGCTCAGTCTGTCTCATGTGCTCCTTGGCCGTCTGTGTATCTTCTTTGGGAAAATCTCTCCTCATCTTTTCTTCTTCCACTTTTCCTTAGCTGAATTTTTTCTCTTGTGGGATTCCCTACATTTCTGCTCATTCTTTGCATTATCTTTTAACTTTCATAATGGTGTCCTCTAAAATCTGTCAGTATCCAACTTGACCTGTTTTTTGATGGTGGTGGTGTTCTTAGAAAGGAAGGCCATACCAAGTTTACTCCTGTGTTCTTGTCTTTAAAGTTTTATGGTTTCAGCACTCCTGTTTCGGTCTCTGATCCACTTTGATTACGTTTTTGTGTGTTCTGAGGTAGGAGCTAGTCTTCACTCTGTTACATGTGGATATCTACTTGTACTGTGGCTCAAGAGCTAAGGCTCCCCATTGAAATGGCTTAGCACTGTTTGGCAGGCATCGTACTATAAGGTAATGAGTTGCTTCTGGATCCTGGGTTCTGTTTCTGGTGATGTCTCTGTCAGAACCTTTGCCAGCACTGCACTGCCGTAATTATTGGCAGCTTCGTGGCAAAGTTGGAAATTGGAAACCAGGATTCTCCTGTTCAGGCTGTCTCAGCCCCCTGCATTTTCATAGGAATTTTTGCATCACCTAGACTCTTACTATATGATATAGAACCAGGATTCCGATAAGGATTGTATTGAACGTGAGGTGAACTTGGGAAACCACTGCCGTTTTAATATTGTCTTGGGGCTGCGAAGGTGGATGTCTTTCACCTAGACCTTCTTATTTCTTTCAACTGTGGTTTACACTGGCATTGCACAAACTTTTGCTTCCTTTGTGAAATTTATTCTTGTTTTATTGTGTTGGGCCTTTTTTTTTTTGAGATTTATTTATATGAGTATGGTTGTTTGCCTGCATGGATGAACCATGTACATGCAGTGCTCACAGAGGCCAGAAGAGGGCATCAGATCCCCTTGGAACTGGAGTCACAGACAGTTGTTAGCCACCTTATAGGTACTTGGGATGGAACCCCAGTCCTCCACAAGAGCAGTAAGTGAGCTGGGCGGTGGTGGTACACACCTTTAATCCCAGCACACGGGGAGGCAGAGGCAGGCGGGTCTCTGTGAGTTCAGGACCTGCCTGGGCTACAGCATGAGTTCCAGGAAAGGCGCCAAAGCTGCTTAGAGAAACCCTGCATTGAAAAACAAACAAACAACAACAACAAAGAGCAGTAAGTGCTCTCAACCACTGAGCCATGTCTCTGCCCATTCTATTTATTCTTTTTGATGCTTGTCGCAAATGAAAATGTTCAGTATTAAAGAAGTACAGTTGATTTTTATATATTGATTATATTTCGTGCAGCCATGTTAGACCCATTTATTCTAAAAGATTATTTTTGTGAACCTCTTGGGCTTATATCTATTTGATCATATCATGTATGAACAGAGATAGTTTTATTTGTCCTAATTTCTAAGAGACCAACTTGTTTTGGAGTAGGACTGTTGGTTTCATTTATATGAATGAGTAAAGAGGAGGTGAAATGGTGCAAGAAAAAGTCTTTCCTTTCTCTTCTGTTCTCTGCACGGATCCATTTAACAGTATCTGTTGGTTCACCCAGTCAAGGGTCACCAGCCTTTGAATGGGAGCCTCTGTCTGTAGACAGACCCTTTTACCATGTGAGTCGGGCAAGGGCACACGTAATGCCCTCCTCCACATGCAGCAGTCAGAAAGTAGGTGGCAAAATGGGACAGAAAATCAATGCAGCATTTGTATGATGTTGTTTGTTTAGACAGGGTCCCTTTGTGTAGCCCTGTCTGGCTTAGAACTTGCTGTGTAGACCAGGCTGGTCTCAAACTCACAAGGATCTGCCTGCTTCTGCCTCCTGAGGGCCACCATGCCCCGCTGGAAGTATTTTGCTGGAAGACCATCATCTCTGCTTCACAAGTTCAGAGAGTTAGGTTTTGTGTTTTTTTTTTTTTTTTTTTAAAGATTTATTTATTTATTATGTATACAGCATGTATGACTGCAGGCCAGAAGAGGGCACCAGATCTCGTTACAGATGGTTGTGAGCCACCATGTGGTTGCTGGGAATTGAACTCAGGACCTCTGGAAGAGCAGTCAGTGCTCTTAACCTCTGAGCCATCTCTCCAGCCCCAGGTTTTGTGTTTTAGCCACTCATATTCTGTGCATATTGCCTGTCACGTTCATCTGCCCCTTTGTTCGTGACGCAGTATAGCAAAGGACACTGAAGAATTGTCCCAGAAACCAGTAAGGTCAGATCCTGAATGTGCCAGAATCACGATATAGGAAAAGTTCTTGTTCTTTCCAATCCCTTGGTTCTGGAAAGATGGCTAGAATCCATCCTTACAGAGCAGTGAAATACTCTACACACATTATGAACTTCATAGAAAGTCACTTTATAAAAACATTGTTTAAATTTTTTTCATACAATACATTTTGATCATATCTTTTTTCTCTCCCAAATTTTCCCAACTTCCTTACCCACACAACCTCTTGAGTTCCTGTGTTCTTGTTCATGTGTATTCTTATTCTCTCTCTCTCTCTCTCTCTCTCTCTCTCTCTCTCTCTCTCTCTCTCTCTCTCTCTCTCTCTCTCTCTAAATTTATATTACTAGGAAGAGGATGGAGGAATGGATAATCAAAGGCCTTGAGTTTACTTTTGAAATAGAAAAATGAAATTTGGGAGTATTGTAAAATTTCTGGCAGTGTTATAAGAACTAGTAAGGGCTGTGCTCTGTGCTCCTCAGGCCCCCTCTGGGATAGCAGTAGCCCTGCAGTCTTGAGATGGCTTGGAAGCTGTACTCAGTAGCTGCTCATCACATCGCTTTGTCTTAAGGATGCAGCCAGTTGTTGCTGTTTTAATTCTCCTCTTCGTTTTGTCTTTTATTCTCTGTAGATGATCACAGTAGGGTGAAGTTGAGACCTTTACCAGGAAAAGACTCTAAGCACAGCGACTACATCAATGCCAACTATGTCGATGTGAGTAAGAAAGCTTCTTACGCTTGTTCCGGAAATTGAGGACTGTGACAGAGGTGTGGGTGTGTTTTAGCACTACACAGAAGTGTCACTAAAAACATGGCCTGCTGGAAGGTGCTTGAATTATTAACTGGTCTCTGTAAAACCACTTTGGTCTCACTTTGTGCTGTGTCGTCTTTGAAGGGCTACAACAAAGCGAAAGCCTACATTGCCTCCCAGGGACCCTTAAAGTCGACATTTGAAGATTTCTGGAGGATGATCTGGGAACAAAATACAGGCGTCATCATTATGATCACAAACCTTGTGGAAAAGGGGAGGGTAAGAGCCTCTTCCTTCACTCTTTTCCCTTTGTGAATCAAAGTGAATTAGGCACCTGCTGTAGGAAGGCAGCCATCCAGGTGTAAAGAAGAGACCTCTCTCCACGTGGGATTGCTTGTGTTCTCTGAAAGAGCTAAGGCATCACAAGTGCAAATTAAAATGATAACATGGGTGTGTTTTAGGGGTTCAGTGAGACAAATGAATGCACCTTCTAGTATGGAAGTTTTAGAGAAGCTCATATTTGAGGTGAGAAACAGGCTAACGAGAAAAAGAATGCACAGGAATAAGAGACAGCAGAAACTGTGGAAGTTGGGAAATGCATGTGTAAGAAAGAAGCTAAGGAGAGCAGAGGCTGACCCTGTTGACCGTCATGAAGAGTGGAGTTGAATATGCTGTACTTTTATCTTGTGGAGATGGTGCTGACTGAGGCTAAAATAAAGACTAAGTCTCAGATTCATTGTCTATGGGGTCCTGTTTTGCTGGTGGTGACCTGGTCTTGTAACACAGAGATTCCCAGCCGGGCTTCTGTAAGCCCAGCCCAGATGGTGCTTAAAACTAGTCTGTATCATATTCTACTCGTATTTTGTACAAGGTTCCCTCTTAAGCGTTCTCTCTCTGTCGTCTCTGTCTCGTGTGTGTGTGTGTGTGTGTGTGTGTGTGTGTGTGTTGATCATAAATATTGGTTCATTTCTCAGATAATGTTAGGCAAACATATCCAAGGTCATGAACCACTTCAGAGGTCACACCAGCCTTTTAGCATTTCAGCCCATACCTTTCTTTTTTAGTAAATAATAATAATAATAATAATAATAATAATAATAATAATAATATCTGTGTCTTAATACTGTTGTTTGAAAAGCCTAACTTTCTCCTTTTTGCAGAGAAAATGTGATCAGTATTGGCCAATGGAGAATAGCGAGGAGTATGGAAACATTATTGTCACACTGAAGAGCACAAAAGTCCATGCCTGCTATACTGTTCGCCGTTTTTCAGTCAGGAATACGAAAGTGAAAAAGGTGTGTGTGCACTGAGGAGCTGAGTGCAGACCACTGCACAAGGAAGGCGAATCCTGGCCAGACCTTTAGGACGGTTTTCACCTTTTTTCTTTTTCTTTTTTTTTAGGCAGGATCTCAAAAAACAAAAACAAAAACAAAAACAACAACCCATGTAGCTCACACTGGCCTCAAACTGGCTGTGTAGCTGAGGTCATTGAGTTAGCCTTCCCATCCGCACTTCCTGAGTGCTGGATTACAGGCTTGCACTACCATTCCAGGTTTATATGGTACTAGGAAGCCAACCCAGGGCTCTGCCCCTTAGCTCTCCAGCCCTGTCCCTCTTCTGCCTGATGTCTGTGTGTCATGTGAAAGGTATTGGCAAAGTACATGGAGCCGCTAGGTGCTCTGGCTGGCTCCTTTCGCCTCGCAGACCAGGCTTGGAATGTGTCGTCTGAGGTGGAGGGCACTGCAGGTCCAGTGGCACCCGTTTGCTGGCTTTGCTTTTTATCTCCACGTTCCTGACGTCCTCAGTGCAGTGTTTCCCGAAGACTGGCCCAAGGACTTCTAGTCCTGCAAGACAGTTACTTAAAACTCATGTTCTGCCGTTGAGTAAGAATGGAAAATGCTGCCACATAATATGCCCCTCTTTTAGAAATGGACAGTGAACACAAGTGACCATAGTGTTGGAGTTCATGTTTCGTCATGGGACTTAACCATAACATCTTTTTCTATAAACTAGTAGTATTCTGAGAATCACGGTGTGGAAATGCTGCTTTCAAGTTATCTCAGTTTTTTCCCCCTCAAATCCCGTCCCAACAGGAGTCACCACAGCAATATTTTGAAAGCACAGTTGTGACAGTCTTGTGTCTGACAGTTTTCTGAAGCTGTGCCGTGTGATCTCCATGGGCATCTCAGAGAATGTAGTCAGGTGGTGTGGCCTCCGTGCCTTAGAAGAATTCACATTCACTCAGCTCTGAAGCCCACCCAGAGCCCAGGACGAACAGTCCTTCCTCAGTGTGCTTATGTTTAGCACCAGCTGCGCTGTTTTAAATCAGAAGCATTACGTGTTCTTTATTGTTCAGCCTCTGGGTGGTCCAAGCCAATCAGTAATCATTCTCAAATTTAGAGAACTTCTAGGCGTCCTTCAAGTATTTAAGCAGGCCGTGACCCTTCTTTGAGAAGAGCCTCAGTGAGAGAAAGCACTAGGAACTCAGGGTGTTCTGGGTTTGACTGATGCAGAGCATGTCAGCCACTTGGGTGAGTGAGATTGTAAAAAGTTTGCTTCTAAATGGAAACCACTCTGTAAAAGTCGCTTGTGAGAGTGACAGAGAAATGAGGCGTGGCCGGGGCTCTAGAGCCACAGGTTCCTTTACACTTCCAGCTTCCCCTGGATTCTTGGAGAATGTGTGGCAGGAAGGACCCCTGGCTCAGGTGCCCAGACTGAGCGGTGGAGAGGAAACGGAAATGGCAGATGAAAACGAAGCACGTCGTTGGGCAGCAAGCCGGGGAAAGCAGGCCTCGCAGCAGAGTTCAAGGCTCTTTGGATTCTTCCAAGTCCAAAAGCGTGGAGTTGTTAAGTGTTCATTCTTGGGACCATTTTATTCTTCGCTTCTGAGAGATGTGGATGTTGCCATGTGGTCACATGAAAGTCGGTCACAAACAGGAAACAATTTATCCCCAAAGCAGTAGTTTAAGGATTGAGACCAAAGGTCATGTTTCCTGACAGCTTTGTACTGTTCTTAACGCGGAGCTAACCCTCGGCGTTCAAGGTACCTTTTACACTTTTCTACAGGGCCAGAAGGGAAACCCCAAGGGGCGTCAGAACGAGAGGACAGTGATCCAGTATCACTACACACAGTGGCCTGACATGGGAGTTCCTGAATATACTCTTCCCGTCCTGACCTTTGTGCGGAGATCATCAGCAGCCCGGATACCAGACATGGGCCCAGTGTTGGTGCACTGCAGGTAGGGGAGCGTGCAGAGGGGTGAAGCTGGGGGTCTGAGCCCCATTCGGTGCCCTGCAGGTAGGGGAGTGTGCAGAGGGGTGAAGCTGGGGGTCTGAGCCCCATTCGGTGCCCTGCAGGTAGGGCAGCGTGCAGAGGGGTGAAACTGGGGGTCTGAGCCCCATTCGGTGCCCTCCAGGTAGGGGAGCGTGCAGAGGGGTGAAGCTGGGGGTCTGAGCCCCATTCGGTGCCCTGCAGGTAGGGCAGCGTGTAGAGGGGGTGAAGGTGGGGGATATGAGCTATGTGAACTCGGCCTGTGCTCCAACAAGACATAGAGAGGATTCCTGTGGCCAATGTCCTCTCCTTGCGCTAGAGTGAGTAAACTTGGTGCAATTATGAATAACTGGACTTCAGTCACATGAAAACATCATCTGGAAAAAAAAGTAAAAAAAGAAGAAATCTGTAGCTTTGAGGAAAAAACTCTCTGACTAAATATCCAGTTTTTATGAAATGATTTTGGTAAGATCCTACTACTGTAGGGAAATTGCGCGCTCTGCCTAAGAAAATTGGAATATACATGAAAGAGTTCATAGCAGAGATTCTAACCTTTCTCTAAATAGATTTACTGAGGGAACCCTCTAAATAATAATATTTATGACATGTATAAAATGGTTCTTTTAATTTCTAACTTATATGTGCTACATAAACTACCTCTTATAAAAACTCTTGAAAAAGTTCATATTTTCTCTGAACAAAAACTCTAGAAAAAATCCTATTTTCTGTGAACAAACTAAAACAACTTGAGATGGTTGTTTGAATGTCTTTACTGTGTACTTCACTTCTGAGAGCACTCATGACTCTCCCCCTACTTTAGTATTCAGTCCCGTTTTCTGTAGCTAATGGCGCATAGCCGCACAGCATTGTCTAAGCATTTCTGTGGGGGGAATTCTTACAATATGCTTTAACAAAACAGGACATTTGCAGAAGCTGAGACACAGCCCGTGTGTAAAGCCTTGTGAGAACTCTACCTTTTTGCTAATCCATTTTGCAATCACCAGTGGAAAGAGGTCTGCCAGACTGCCTGTGTTGTGCTCGATGAGGAACCTCCCGGAAGCATTCTGCCGAAATAAGCTTGCCATTCAGTACTACAGCTGTCCGATCTTCTTGGATATCTTTTAAAACAGGAATTAGGAACATAACTACAAGAAGCCAAATCTTCTGGGCATAGCATTCTCCTTTACTGAAAGGAAAATGCCTATGCCACTTCTGGTGGGCTCTGGAAAATGGGCTAGCTCTTCAGTCACGAGCTTGTACTTTTTTTTTTTCTTTTTTTTTGGTCAATGGCTAAAAGTACTAGCTGAGTGCCTTCATCTCTTCCAGTGCTGGTGTGGGCAGGACAGGCACCTACATCGTAATAGACAGCATGCTGCAACAGATAAAAGACAAAAGCACAGTCAATGTCCTGGGGTTCCTGAAGCATATCAGGACACAGCGCAACTACCTCGTCCAGACTGAGGTAAGGAGTGGCTGTTGGGACAGCCCAGCAGGTTAAGGCAGCTGAGGAGAGAGAGCCGTCCCCTTAGAACTTGAAGGAATATCCGGGCTTGTGCTTGAGAATTCTGAGGATAATGCTCTTTTTGGACCACAGCTTCCTATTGCTGTCTTAATGTCTAGACACTCAGGAATCAGTTACAGTTATACCAAGTCATGCTCCAGATCACAGTGAGTTAAGCATGCTCTCTGGCAAACACGTGGGAAAAGTTGGTTCTTAAGTCCTCCACTGAACGTGTGTTTGTAGCTCTGGGTTATTACCAGACCACCTGCTCTAGACATGGAGAAATACAGAGCTAAACTCAGCATAGGCTTCTGTTCCAAAGTAAATTACAGCAGATCAGCAAGTGAATATTGGGGTCACTATCTAGCTACAAATGCTTGAGAAATGCACCATAGGTCCTTGAGAGCAGTGTCGATGGAAAGTCAACTTTATGAATGGGTAGCTATCCCCTCAGTGACTGCTACACATGGAACCTTTCAGGAGCAGTACATTTTCATTCACGATGCCTTGTTGGAAGCCATTCTCGGAAAGGAGACTGAAGTATCTTCTAGTCAGCTGCACAGCTATGTTAACAGCATCCTCATCCCAGGAGTAGGAGGAAAGACACGGCTAGAAAAGCAGTTCAAGGTAAGGCTCTGGGCAGTGTCTTTATTAGGAAATGCCCTGACTTGGGGTCATGTCTTCTTTATATTCCTGTAGATGCGGAAATGATTATTGTAATGTGAAGGGAAGTTTTGATCACGTAGATGTGGCATAGTGCTTTATTTTCTTTTGAGCCATTGATGGCTTTATCTGAATGTAGACACCATCCTCTAGCCTGCTGACATAAGACTTTCAGTCAGTTTTCAAGCCCCCCAATACTGTTTTTCTTTTTTCCCCAGAAGTATTCAACAATACTTTTATTGAGGATGGTTATTTGATCCAGGAGTGGTAGCTCGTGCCTGTAATCCCAACACTCAGGCTGAGGCAGAAGAATCACAAGTTCAAGATCAGCCTGTGCTTTAGAGTGAGAACCTGTCAGAAAGAGAAGGCGGGAGGGAGGAGTGACTATGTACATATTGTGATCAAAATACACTTCTTTGAAAAATCGATACAGAAGGCAATTGGGAAACTAAAAAAAGGAGTTTCTAAGTAGTAGAGATAAGCTTAACTTACTTTAATGGAACAGGAAGGCTAGTGGTAGTTAAGACTTGGGAGTAGTTGGAGGTGACAACTATTGAAGTCGTTAGCTGTCACTTTCAGACACTGCCTTCCCAGTGACGGAGTACTTCCCTTTTTCTTAGCTTCTCATGTGCACATCATTCTGCATGTAATCTCCTCACTCCATATCACAATGGAAAGCTGATTACAGTTAAAGTTTTCATGTTGCCCTAGACTCTGAAATCCTCACTGGAATCTCAGCTAAAGAAATGAGAAAGACATTCAGACAAATTATACCAAGTGCTATGAAATGAAAAACAAATTAATTTTCCTGAGTTCAATCATAGCACCAATTTCAAATTTCCAGTTCTCTTCTCAACAGCCTAACTGTTGTGAAATCACTTGAGGTGATTAGATGGCACAGTATCGCTGTGAAAGTAAAAATGGTTATCACAAAACAGTACATACCAATTTTTAAAATTTCCTTTGTTTTACATTTCTGATATATTTGAAGATTTCAGAGTTTAAGGAAAGTTTGAATGTGAAAACAAAGAGTGAACAAATTCACCTCATTTTGTCCATCTTGACACAAATGAAAAACTGTTTACATGTAGGCCAAAAATACAATCAGAGACTAATAAGAGCATCTCTACATTAAAAATCTAAAATCAAAAATGTTTCAGAATCTAAACCTTTCTGATCACCTACACGATGTCATAAAGAGAATTTCCATACCATGAAATCATTGTTTCATGCACAAAAGATATATAAAGCTACCATCATGCTGTGATTCCTGTCCCCAAGATATCTAATTATATGTATTAAAGATACATAGATGACAGACAGGCAGACAGACTGCTCCCAAGCATTACCTCTTGATCTGTGTTTCTTTATGTATACTTTTCAAAGAACTCACTGAACAAGCCAGCCTTTGCAAAACTTGGAAAGAAGCCAGGCAACTGGCTCTTTTAAGGCACCAGCCATTTGCAGAAACTCAAAAATGAAAAATACCCTCCAAGGCCCAGGACAGTGGCAAGAAAGCACATGGAGAGATTCTTGTGCTGCATTTCATGCACATAGAATCCCTGCTATCATTTCAGCTAATCACACTGTGTACTATACACACAGCACTGACATTTTCTTCTGTGCTGTAGTCACTGGTGAGTCGTCCATCCTTATGCAGGTCACACTGATTAAACACACAAATAAGGGGATTTGTTGTGAAGAAGACAAGATTCAACAGCACTGGAAGGGTAATAAGAGGGCCACAGGGGGTGAGAGTGACCAATGTATTATAGACATGTATGAAACTGTCAAAGACTGGAAAAAACATTAAAACAACACAAAAAGCAGCTTGTTCGGCCCAGTCACATAAACAAGAAGAGTAGCACTACTGGGCTGTAAGATAAATAGCCTGCCATCAACAGAAATGTGCAGAGACTCAGTCCAGGTCTTTTTATCTTTAAGAGGTATGATTAGCTCTTAATTAAATTAAATAATATTGCAGTATAGATTTGACTCTTATATGCTATTGAAGAATTATATGAAATCCCCAATAGCAGTGGCGTACACAGAAAACTCCACAGTTCAGTAGATACCACATGCACAGTACCTTCAGCAGACTCTGAGGACCTTAACACAAGTCAAGGACCAAGAGAAGGGCCACGAGTGAAACATGAGTGTTCTTTTGGGGTACAAAAGTATTTTTATTGCTTAATAGTCTGGCTGGTGATTGACATTCTTCCAGAGTTTCAAGCAGGCACCAGTGATTGTACCTTCGAATAATGCCCCAAATGCTCTTCCTTTTCAGCTGATCACACAGTGTAATGCAAAGTATGTGGAATGCTTCAGTGCCCAGAAGGAGTGTAACAAGGAGAAGAACAGGAACTCCTCCGTTGTACCGGGTGAGACATTAACATAGTGGTTCAGTGGGTGAACATTTTTAAACTAGATATGATGTATTGTGTAAGGACACAACAGTTATCCATAGAGAGGTGGTATAGTCTCTTCAGTGAAAGCATTTGAGGCAAATAGAAGCAGTGGGTTTGGACATCAGCAAGTCACTTGACCTATCTGACATGAAACCTGGTTTTGATTTGCCTCAAAATGCCACCGTATTTCAACTTGAAAAATGATGATAAAGCTACTATCCCTATAGCATTTAGACTTTAGGTCTTAGATTAATCTGGACTAATTAGATTATTTAGAACTGTATCATTAGATTAACTATTGAGATCTGGGCCCTATTGGTTTGTAGTGACCTTTGTATCCATAACTGAGGACACAGCCGAGAACATTTTGTGTACCTTGTAAACACCGGCATTTGTTGATCGTTGGATAGCTCTGTCTCTATTGAAAAGGGTCACTGCCCTCTACACCCTGTGTGGAGAGAAGACACTAAGGGATAGGAGGAGAAGAACAAAGTACAGTATATTGGTGTAACTATAGAAATGTGATAAACCAGGGTCAGGTTATCTGCAACACGTTTCCAAGTTTATACTCTAATAGACTATGAAAGCCTTTCCTACAGTTCCATTTTTATGCTACAGTGTCTGTCCTGAGTACCCAGGGAAATTTTCATTTTATGCCCTCCTCACTAGATAACACTTAAGCTTGCTTAAATATGTCAGTGTTAGAAAGGAGCCAGGGAGTCATGCCATTCACCAAGTAAATCCTAGGAAGAATTGCTGGTTCCTTTGAACAATAAGGCAAATGTGGTGTTATTGTTTCTTTCCGTATGATAGCTGAGCGTGCTCGAGTGGGGCTTGCACCATTGCCCGGAATGAAAGGAACAGATTACATTAATGCTTCTTACATCATGGTGAGAGTCGACCGTTCACACCTTTCAGTTTAATTGGCTGTATTTATGATTAAGGAGTACATACCACCCCTGTGACTGATTTCATTTTTGAAGTAATTTCTCAATGTGTAACATCAAAAGTATAGAAATTTCTGTGCTTGAAACTTTTAACAAAAGATGCCTAAAGGGTGGGAATACAAAAATATCTAAATTAAGGAAAATGCTTCTTAAGGAATTAATTTTATTGTTAATTCACCCAACTAGCTTTTAAATAAATGTTGAAATTGCTGTTAAGTAAAAACAGCAGGGGTGACTTGCAGTGAATTGCATGTGGAGAGAAAATTGTCTGCACAATGCTCACAGAAGTACAACTTAAAATTAGCCAAACGCACTGAATGCCTTTCTCAGTGTTTTCAGTGAAGCCAAAATAATGCTGCCTCGATACATGAATGTATTTTACTACTACAGAGTTGTAGCGACACATACACAGTCCCTAATTCTTCCTCTCCCTAACTGAAGGGCTATTACAGAAGCAATGAATTCATTATAACCCAGCACCCTCTGCCACACACTACGAAAGATTTCTGGAGGATGATTTGGGATCATAACGCACAGATCATTGTCATGCTGCCAGACAACCAGAGCCTGGTGAGTAGAGTACAGCTGCTGTATATTAACGAGCCCGTGAAGCCACAGACATAATTTACTGTGATACCTTGCCATGGCTGTTGTGTCTGTGTATGCTAAGAAGGGCGTTTTTGTAGTACGTGATTCCCTAATACTGTTTATACTGCTCTTCAATCACACTGGACTGGGTAAAGGCTTTGAAAACAGCCTTTTAGTAGACTCCTTAATATGACTTCAGACTGACTTCTTATCCACTGCATGGCACTTTCAGAAAATAGGTATCTTATTACGTTTATGGTATATGTCACTATGTTTACCTTGTATGACTTAACGTATTTACAGCTGGAGAAACTGAAGTAATGACCTTGTCCAAGAGCGTGCAATAATAATTAGACTTGGATTTATACCATCTGCCTCTCCAAAGTCCATGCTTTTAATTATTTTGCTATGTGTGCCATCACACCACATCAGAGGAATGGGTCTCAACTAAGTGCTGATAGTGTTTCCTTTCCATAGTCAGGTCCACAGTGAGACGAGAAAGGAGAGGCTGTTTAGGTCCCTCCTACAGAGAGGATTTAAGCCTCTCATTCTTTGCATCCTTTGGTCCTTCTCCATTAAGAGTCTGTATAGGAGATGGGAAAGCACACTTAAAAACAGAATTGCATGTTTCTGCTTAGACCTTATGCATACGTACATTTTCAGAATTAGCTGGGTCTTAAAGAAAAGTTATTCTGTGGACATGGAGCCTACATGATAAAAACTAATGAGGAACTGCCTCTGGATGTCAGATGAATGAGTTTTTAATTAAGAAAGAACAGCCTGTGGTTGAACCCCGAGTCTGGGTGACAGTGTCTGACTGTGTGCCAGTCAGTAGGAACTTCTTGCTCTGTCGAATTTTGCTCCAGCTTCAGGACCCAAGGTTGCTTCTGTATGATGGGATGACAGCAAGGTTGAGAAGCTTAAGCTGAGAACTGGAGTGTAAGTGTTCACATTAGCCGGCAGCAGGGCCCGTTCTGATTGGCACATGGAAACGGAAGGCATTGGGGTTGAAATGTTCCTTGGTTGGATGAGTCAGTCTTTCGTTACTATCATTTAACAGAGGCCGCTCCCCACCGAGGTTCGTCCCAGGGCTCATCGGTGGGAAAGCTGGGGACTGTTAGACCCAACCAAGAGATACCTGTTCTCCTCCAGATAGAATACAGTGACTGATATGGAACACGGCATCCCAGGGTCTCTCTGAAGCCAGGGTAGAAGACTACCTAATGTTGGCATCATTTTGTTTTGTTTTTACTACTACTATAACCGTACAACACTCCAATTTTTAACTGACTTGAAAGTAACTAATCTAATTCAAAATCAGTATTACCAATTCCTTTATATCTAGATAATCTTATACTTTTATATCTAGATGCTCATTTTATGTCTACATACTTTTATATCTAGATAATCTTTTACCTGTATATCTAGATCTTATATACATCTAGATTATATATCTAGATATTCATATCTTTATATGTAGATAGTCTTATACCTTTGTATCTAGATAATCTTATATCTTTAAAATCTAGATAATCTTATGCCTGTCTATCTAGATAACCTTTTCCCTTTATATCTAGATAACCTTATGCCTTCATATTTAGATAATCTTTTACCTTTATATTTAGATAATCTTATACTTTTCTATCTAGATAGTCTTACATCTTTATATCTAGATAGTCTTAGACCTTTCTATCTAGATACTCATATCTTTCTGTCTAGGTAGTTTTCTATATCTAGATAATCTCTAGAATTTGGGAGATGGAAGCTGAAGGATCAAGAATTCGAGATTATCATCAGCTACCAAGTCTAGCCTGTACTCTCTGTGGATCTTTATGGGGGGACCTGGAGAGGGGTCTCTAAGAGTCAGCCTGCCTTATTCCTATAAGCTGGGGTAGTTACAGGGCAGAAGGGAGGTAGAGAAGAAGGTGGTAAAGTTTTCTTTGGGATCCAAAGTTGGCCATTGCTAGGGGCAACCAGGAAGTTGTCAGTTAAAGAATGCCAGGTGATCAATAGACACCTTTCATGGGGGCCACTACTGGGGGTCCCAGGGGCAGAGCAGTCAGGAATCCAGAAAAATTAGTTATATCACTACTGGAAACCAAATTACCATTGTGAAGGAATTTGTCTCAATTTAACAGACAGTGCATACCTGTGACAGAAAGCCTGCTGAATTCAGAAGTTGCTCTTGGATCTGGGACTGTAGTGCAGTTGATAGAGTGCTTGCCTAGCACGTTTGAAGCCCCGGGTTTAATCCCCAGTACCACCTAAAACTGATGGTGACACATGCCTGTAATCTCAGCAGTGCTTGGGGAGGGAGAGGCAGGAGGATCAGGAGTTCAAGGTCATCCTTGGTGTAGCAAGCTCAAGTTCACCCTGGGCTACATGAGCTTCTGCCTCCAAAACGAACAACCAAAAAGAAAAAAAAATAGAATTTAATTGTTTAATCTTTCAAGATGAGTTATTACTCCTAATTCCATGTCTATATTTGGGAGTTTTTCCTGCCTTTGATCTCTTTGACACCTCTAAACAAACTGTATCATCAGCTGTTCCTGTCATGTCCTTTGAGAATACAGGCTTATATTGTTCTCATTTTTAAAATATGGAAATAAAGGTTTGGCGATAAGTATGGGGAGATAGAATACTAGATAAATTAATCTCTACATAGTGGTTAGATTCTGATGCTCTGTCCATCTTAACTCTATATCCTGAATCTGTTTACAGGGTCATACTTCCATTTCCTTGAACAAAGCATAATAAAACTCACAACAGTTTCAGACTTCTTTTGTATAGACTAAACCCAATTGCTAATCTGCTTCCCCTTATGCTAAGCTTTAAAAATAAAAATGTACTTGGCAATAATGTATATTGAAACTTGAAGGGGTGATAAGTCTCATTGGACTGCTGGCTCATTTCTAATGCAACAATGTAAGCCTAAACAAAGCCTTCTTTGTTGTGAACATTACTCCTGATTTCTGTGATAGTAAATAAGCATTCTGAGTAAAATGCTCATAAAAACCTCTATGCTACAGGCAAATGGGAGTTTCTCTTTTGAGCTCATTAGAGAAAGGAGGAAGAGTATACATCCTCATAATCATATTTCATAGAAAAACCATTAAGTTTTTCTTAGGAAGCCATCATTTTCAGGGATAGAATTCAAGTACTAAGCCTGAATTTCTATTTTTAAACTTAAAATAGATGAACATGTAAAAGCTTGCCTGCTTCAAAGCTGAATGGCTTCTGTATTACCCTCTTGAAATCTGATGCCAACAGGGTAACTTGTCGTTACAAGGTGCCCAGTACTGATGGCCTGCCTGCTTATTTATGCACAGCTTCCTCTCCAAAAGGTGCAGTTTTATCCTTTATCAGCAGTGTGATTGAGACAATTTATGGACATCTCTGAGCATGTCCTCATTTGTCAAGACAGATGGTACAAATCCCATATCCCATATCTAGCAGCTATCATCCAAAATTTATAAAGAACTCTAAAAAGTGGGCAAAATATATCTTCAAGTATGACAAAAATGATCAGCAGATATATGAAAAGGTACTCAGTGTTGTTATCAATTCTCTTATAAAATACCACCTCCTACCAATTAGGGTGGCTTTAAAAAAAACCAAGGAATGACAAATGTTGGTAAGGAAGACTAGGAACTCTTGCTGGCATGGTACAGCATGGCAGGAAGAGAGAGAGAGAGAGAGAGAGAGAGAGAGAGAGAGAGAGAGAGAGAAGGACAACTCACTATACATTGGATTATAGGCTAATACAACCATATGGAAAACAGTATTCAAGTTTCTAAGGAATTATAAAATGCCTGCTGGGCATCCATTTCCCCAGAAAGAAGACAAGCACTATGTGAAGTGGCCACACTCCAGTGTTCTCTGCTGCACTGTACACAACAGCCAAAATACAGAAACAACCTAAGTGTCTCAAAGGCACGTATTTTCTGGCCCCAAGAAAGAATGAGATCTAGTTTTTGCCACAGATTGAGCTCAGAGAAGCCTGCACTAAGTTAAATAAGCCATACAAAGGAAGAAAATGTTCAACAATCCACATTAATAAAAACAATTCAAAGATACAGAACTAACAAGATGGTGATCTGGGTGGGTAGGTCAGAGGACACACAGCATGTATGTAGAATGAGTAAATCTAGAGTTCATGTACCATCTAAAAACTATAAATAATAAAATTGTACTATACTTAGCATTTGTGGTAAATGATATTGTAGCTGTTGCCACAAAAGATATATATATGTATGTAAAGTGATAATCTGTTCATTTAGTTGACTTTAGTAAACTTCACTATCTGTTCTATAACATACATTATAGTTCAAAATACACAGTAAAATTTATTTTTTAAACATTATTACTAATCACGTGTAAACTAACGCAGCTGTAAAATAACAAAACTAAATGAACTATAGCTAATCTCTGGTTTTGCCCTGTCCATCATAACTGAGAACACTTGTCACTTACAGGTAGTACATCCTCTTTAGAGCAGTAATTTGGGTTGGTATGACAAGAGAGACGGACTATAAAATGGTTATTATCAAAGTATAATTTATAACATTAAAAATGACTAGATGGGGTTAATAATTCATATAACCAATATAAAAGAACTTGAATGGTTTGGGAGATGGCAAGTACGAGGAATCAGTTTGCAAGAAAACTGAAAAGCAAATATTTGGTAACACTGTAAAATAATTTGTTTTCCTGGTTCCCAAAGGCAGAAGATGAGTTTGTGTACTGGCCAAGTCGAGAAGAATCCATGAACTGTGAGGCCTTTACTGTTACCCTTATCAGCAAGGACAGGCTGTGCCTCTCTAATGAAGAACAAATTATCATCCATGACTTTATCCTTGAAGCTACACAGGTAACTTAAACCACATTTCCTCCAAAATTGACCAACTTGGGCCCTATGTCGTTCTTTTAAGTAATAATAAAGTGATTTTACTACCCTCAAGATAGGGCCAGCTGTTTGAGTAAGACTAAATATGTGCATTTCCATTTTTCCTTCCTTCAAATATTTGCTTTTTCCAATTGGGTAGATGAAATGTAACAGTCTCTGGTTCAGCATGCATGCAAGTAGACCTTTTGGCTTAATGATAAGTGTATGAGATAATATTCAGTATAGGAGAGAAATACTGCCTGCTTTGACATCAGAAACATAACCTTGTGATGAGTTATGAAGACAACACTTTAATAATCATGATTTTCACCTATAATAACGGCCTTCTTAGAAGGGTAAGAGACACTCTGTGTATCAGCAGTTTAAATGATACCTAAGCCCATCCCTTCATTCTGGTGAGGGGGCCTGCCCACGAGAGTTTTCCCTGCTGCCTAGCAACTGGAGCAGAGATGGGTAGGGGTTCCCAGGGACTGACTGTGTCCCAGGGCCTAGGTCCTCGAGCCCCTCCCCTCTTTCTTTCCTATCCCAAGTCACAGTTGTAGTAATGGGGCATAATAATGTCTCTTGCAGGCTTTGTGTTTTGTTTTGTCTTGCCTACTGTTCACTGGTTAGTGTCTGTTGATGGCAGGTGGGTCTTGTGCAGTTTGGGCAACAGAACACTGTTTAGTTTCCTGGGATACGTGCTTTCTAGGGAGCAGGCTTCCGCCACTTGGCTATAGAAGTGAATTACAGGAGGAGCTATGATTCTGTTTTGTTGGTTGTAGGATGACTATGTACTGGAAGTTCGGCACTTCCAGTGCCCCAAATGGCCGAACCCAGATGCCCCCATAAGCAGTACCTTTGAGCTGATCAACGTCATCAAGGAAGAGGCCTTAACACGGGATGGCCCCACTATCGTTCATGACGAGTATGTATCTAATTATGTATGTTAAATTCTGGGGCTGTTCTTATTGGATTCCTACAGAAATTGAAAGGGAACACCTCCCTCTCTCTGCTTTCGACACTTCATGTTATTTCTATTGGGTGCATGCATATGCAGAAGCATTGTGGTTGTGTTTTAATTGGTCAGATTTTGCCAGGCTCTAAGTGTTCCTAGAGTGTATGATGTAGAAGGGGAAAATACTACACTTCTCTTCTTCACCAGAAAGTAAGCCAATTCTTTCTTGGGGCAGGCACACCCTCACAGTAATATTCTCAGCATGCTGTATTCACCTGCTCAAGTCTGTTCTATTCCCAGGCTAGTCTGTTCCTACCCAGGATGCCTGCAGCATACATAATCTTTTGAGATGGTTATAGAATAGACACTTTACTCAAATAATGACAACTAGTTTCCTGTGTAACTAAGCTAGTTTCATTTAATAATTCACAAAATGTGATCTGAGAACCCTTTGGGTTGTATATTTAAGGTCTTTCCAGGAGATCAGAAAAATCAAGCTGTATATTACAATATACATTAATATATATAAAACAAAGAGACCATCTGCCTTGTTCACTGCCTGTCATGAATATATAGAGATTTCCAGAGCTACTTGACATGTAATGAAACTGTCACTCAAGATGAGCAGAAGGGTAACATTTTCTCAGTTTCAATTCCTAATACCTTAAATTGCCTAAATAAGTGGAAATTTGGTCTTGAGATCAAGGACTGAAGACTGGTAAGAAATTCCATAACAAAATACATTGACTGGTCTCCACTGTTGCAAAGACACCACGAGTCATACCTGCTTAGCATTACTAAGTACATGGTTTATGGTATTTACTCTGTGTTGGGGGGACAGGCACAGGGCAGAAGGTGCTTAGAGCCTGGAGAGACTCGCAGTCCATGTCAGTCAGCATCAGCCACACAATTTACGGATCTCTCCTAAAAGACAAAGAGTCTCCAGGGCAGCTGTCAGGTTCTGAGCACTCAGGGCTCCCCTGAGTGAGAAAGGCCCTTGACACAGGAGCCCAGCGCTGGGGCTCAAGGCACCTCCGTCCCAGCCATTCCACACTGCCTCCCTTTGGTTGTTCCTGTGGCCGGTCCTTCTGTCTCTGTCTCTGTGTCTCTGTCTCTGTCTCTCTCTCTCTCTGTCTCTCTCTGTCTCTCTCTGTGTCTCTCTCTCAGGCTGTGCTATAACTCTTTCCTGCTTTCTTTTCTCACTCACTTCCCACACTTTAATAGGATCTTAGATTTGGGGTTTGTTGGGATTGTTTGTTTGTATGGGCATTGTTGTTGTTGTTGTTGTTGTTGTTGACAAGGTCTTGTTGTGTAAGACCGAACCGACCTGGAACTCCTGGCGCTCCTTTGGCCTCAGCCTCCCAGGTGCTAGGGTTCCGCCATGCTGGATACAAGCTGATTTTTTTTTTTTTTTTTTTTTTTTTTGGTTTTTCAAGACAGGGTTTCTCTGTGTAGCTTTGCGCCTTTCCTGGATCTCGCGCTGTAGACCAGGCTGGCCTCGAACTCACAGAGATCCGCCTGCCTCTGGATACAAGCTGATTTTTAAGTTGAACTTTGCCCTGCCACTGCTCTTCAGTGATGTAACTCGGGATGGCATTCCCAACTGTAGTCCTCTCTCTCTCCCTCCCACTCCCCTCCTTCCCTCCCCCCGCCTCTTTTATTGAAAATAGATTTTTTTCCTTACAGTTATATTTGGGTCACGTTTTCCCTTCACCAACTCCTTCAACTTCTTCCTTACTTCTCTTCCCATCCAGATCTGTCTTTCTGTCTCTTCTTAGAAAACAAATAGTCTCAGAGGTGTGGGTAAGCGAGCCCAGCAGAATTTATGAGCATGGGAGAGTGGTCCCCATTACATGTGGCAGCATGGGCAGGAGAGAAATGCCTCCTCACCCTTCCCCCTTGCTGCCATCAACCCCTGAGGCAGGTGGGAGAACTGACCCTGAGGACATGAAAGAGGAGAACTGACCCCACCCCTTGCTCATCACTGCAAGGGGTAAACTAGCCAGGATAATGCTGTAGAGTGCACCATGTTGGTGAGGACAAGGGAGAGCTGTCTGGCTGACCAACCCTGCAACTACCCAGGTCTAGAACCAGGGTTATGAGTTGACCCACCCCAACATCCACCCCATCTGTGATCTGCTAGAGCACTCGAAGGAACCAGTGCTGCAGATCCAAAGCTGCAGGATCTCCATGATACAGGGCAACAACAGAATCTCCAAGAGGAGTCCCAGTGAGGGCCCAGCATTGACAGTGCAGCAGAAAACCAGAGGCCTCGAACCAGACCGATGAACACTTGCAAAGAAAGTCATATGGATAAAAGGATTTATTGGATGACTCACTATGTCACACTACAAGTTCCATGATGAGACTGATTTTTCTTTTTTTTTCTCATAAATTGTATTTTATTTTATTTTTTGGGGGAGGTTGCAAGGGCAGAGGGCAGATATGAAGGGACGGGAAAATGAATGGAATGGAGATGCATGATGTGAAAGACACAAAGGATAAATAAAAAGAAAGTTAAAAAGATATGAAATCAGTATCTAAGGAATAATAATAAAATGATATATGATAAAACAAAAATTTGGAATAAGACAAATAGAAAAAGAGCCAAAGAAAAAGCACAAGAAACACATATAGACACAGAGACACACGTTCACACACACAGGAATCTCATGGAAACACAAAACCAGAAGCCATAGGCTATACACAAAGGAGCTGTGAGAGAAAAAAAGGAAAATAAAAATGTCCTGATACAGCATTGTGAGACAAAGAAACTCAAAAGATGCTATTGAGTTCATTTTCTGTCTGCTGGACGTGAGGCCTACCCATAGGAGTGGTTTGTTTCCCCAGTGACCCTCCCTGCCTTAGGAAAAAAAGCCCTAAGTTTTCATTTGCAAGTAGTTATCAGTTGGCACTAGCTTCTGGGTTAGGGACGGAGCACGTGTCTACTTTTGGCTCTAGGAGCCCATCTGGCGCAGCCCCTTGCAGGCCCTGTGCATGCTGCCTCAGTTTCTGAGTTCGTAAGTGCTTTTCAGTCATGTTGTGTTTAGAAGGTCTTGTTTCCTTGGTGTCCACCATCCCCTTTGGCTCTTACACTCTTCTGTTTCCTCTTCTGCAGAGTTCCCTGAGTCCTGAGGGGAGGGATTTGATGGAGGCATCTGGTTTAGGTCTGAGTGTTCCAAGGTCTATCATTCTGTGCATACTGTCTGCATGTGGATCTCTGTTTGTTCCCATCGCTGCAAGAGGAAACTTCTCTGATGATGGCTGAGCAAGGCACTGATCTATGATATAGCAGAATGTCATTAGGAGTCATTTTATTGCTATATTCCTTTAGCAGAACAGTGGTGTTTGGTTTTCCCCCAGGTCCCTGGCCTATCTAATCTCAGGTTCTTGGCAACCCAAGCCATGTCAGGTATGGGCTCCATCTCATGGTGGGAGCCTTGAATCTAATCAGATCTGGGTTGGTGACTCCACAAGCTCTGTGCCACATTGCACCAGCGCATCTTGCAGTCTGGTCACCACTGTAGATCAGAGGTTGCAGCTGGGTTGGTGTTTACCTTTCTCCTTTGCTAGCATGCAATGCCAAGTACCTTCTAGTACCATGTCAACATTCCCAGCTGCGATCTTAAAAGCAATTCTAAAGGTAGAATAATTGTACCTTTTATGGCCATAGATGTTATGCACACTTGACATGGACCATCAGTCTATTTTAAAATCAACACAGTCCAAGCACTTGGGCATTTTTTTAAACAGCACTAAATCAGCATTACTTTCAACTAGAGAAAGTGGCGAGCTGACTTCCAGAGTGAGCGGATTTGTAGCTATTGTGGAGTGTAGCCTGTAAGTGTCAGATCACTTTGTACCAGGTCTGTGGGGTTCTGAACACAAATCTAGGAGACTCAGCAAATATCATCCAGTCCTACATAATGCATAAAGTTCTAAAAGAGAATGGCCTTTCTTTCTTCAGTCTTCCTTTATGTTAGGTGTGTAGGTACACTTGATTTTAGCTTCTAGGTCTTTCCTCCTGTGTGAACATCACAGTTGTCCTTGCATAAAACTAGAGACATCTAGCCCATTATAGCTAGTCAATGTGTTAGAACTACCACTATGTATGTTACCTGTCCTTGACAAAAAATGCTAAACAGCGTATGTATTAAGAATGGCCAGTAGAAGCCTGGCAATGGTGGTGCAGGCCTTTAATCTCAGCACTTGGGAGGCAGAGGCAGACAGATCTCTACAAGTGCAAGGCCAGCCTTGAACAAAGCAAGTTCCAGAACAGCCTCCAAAAAAGAAGCCTGGCGAAGAATGGCCAGTGGTAGGAAAGGCAGCCAGCCTTCATGAAAGCACACTCCACAAGCAGACCATGTCATCTCACTGCTCTGTCTGACTGGCTTGAGCTCATCTTTAAGAAGAGCTAGGAAAATAAAGAGGGGAGTCTTAAGTTTAATTATTTCATTAGAACCAGTTAAGTAAAGGTTAAATTGTTTCCTTCAGAAAACCAAGTCAGTACAAATGTTTTTTTAAAAAAATACTATGTGAAAATACTCAACTTAGTACAACTTAGAATCCTACAAAAGAGAACACAATGAGAAAGGACCAAAAAAACAACAACAAATCCCAAAATAGAGTGACCATAGTGAATAGTAAAATAATATATTTAGAGGGCCAATGGAAGAGTTTTTGAAATAATTACAAACACATGCTATGAACCACTTAACAAAATTAACACCTAAAAATCAAAACGCTGCTATTAAAAATGAAAGGGAAATGCTGGTGGTGGAATGGGTGAGGCCGACCTAGACCTAGCTAGCAGAAGTAGACATGGGACCTCTGTCATGTCTAAGAGCTGATGCACAGGGAGATAAAACCCTAGAAGAACACAGCTAAAGTTTTAGAGACAGTGAAGAGTCGAGTTCAAAGCTGAACCAATTGGGAGCCATTTGAAAAGCAACACAGCTTCACCCAGTGTTGATGCAGACACACGCGCACTAAGGGGTACTGAGCGAGAGACAGTCTAATTTCAGTCAATCATTGCAAACTGTATACAAAGCCACACTCATTCATCACAACACAGTATTAGAAATCCACAGTTAAATAAGATTCTAAATCCTACTAATGGAAACTGAAATTCTTACACATGAAATGCTTTATAAACAATTAATGGCTTAAAGAGGTAAACAAGATTGAAACTGAAAAATAATAACAAATGATCAAAGCATTAACTTTCAAAAAGAACCAAAATGTACCACCCTTAAAAAGTCATAGCCCAATCTGCATTTATTGATGTTCAGAAACAAACTTGGCTTCCAGTTTAAAAAGCTGGGGGGTGGGGGGAACAGAGTTCGAGGCCAGCCTGGGCTACCAAGTGAGTTCCAGGAAAGGCGCAAAGCTACACAGAGAAACCCTGTCTCGAAAAACCAAAAAAAAAAAAAAAAAAAAACTGCTGAAATACAGCTGATTAACAGATGAGAGAAAAAAGAATGGAATGGGAAAAAAGAGAGAAAGTGTAAGTAATAAAGAGGCCTGGCCTAATAAAAGATACATGGTGATATCCAGAGAGGTGATATGCTTCTACAGTCCCAGCTCTGAGGAGACAGAGGTAGGAGGATCAGGAATTCACGGCCAGCCTGGACTCCACAATGACAAGTTATCTTGAGAAGGAGGCTGGGAATAAACACTGGGAAATGTAACAAAGAAAACAGTTAAAAAAGGCATAAGTTAAGAAGGAAAAACTTCCATTTTTACATGTTTACTTAAAAACATCTGAAATTATCTGTTTAAGCTTGTTCTTTTAGGTCCTTACCATTTATAAATTACTTATACAAGCTAATTATAAATAAAACATCTGTGATTTACATCATTACATGTGGAGGAAGAAACAGATAGAAGACTATTCACAGTCTGGTGATTGGTGGAGCTGAGTGATAGTTACAGACAGGTCCTTGTGAGATTGTACTTTTGTGTATGTTGAACACACTCTCTGATATAAAGCTAGAAATAAATACATTTAAAAGGAAATGAAGTGAGTACTTGACTATTTACTTACATTATGTCAATAAACTTTAAGCACAGGCAGTAGATGATGTATACATGAGATGCACCCAGCTCTGTTCTAAGCCACTTACATTTAGCCATAGTCTCGCTCTAAGTCTCATTGGTGAGTTACTTCACCTGACTCTGCCTCTTCAGCATCACGTGACGATGACGGCAGGATAGCTGCATGGGGAAGATTAACTCCATGTATGTACTTATCTGGAGAGGACATAGACCACACAGCCGTGATTACCAAGAAGTGGGTGAGAGAGAGAGAGAGCAAGCTCTCCAGGGGCCTGGGCCCCCAAACTCTCGATGAGGCTGCTTCAGAATAGGAACATCCAGTGAGGAGAGGAGCACAAACTGAGTTCAAAGGACAGTGCTAGCCCCAGAACTGCAGTGCACAGGCTAGTCCATACATTTAGTAATTGAGAGTAAAATACCGTCCAACAAAACCTAGTACAAAAGGAGTTACATATTATGAGGAAATAAACTTTATCCTGGTAATATAACCCTAATTAAATAGTGCCAAAATGTATTGATGAAGTCAAGACATTTTCAAAGGGATTTAAAAGAAATCAACAGATAGATTAAAAATAGGTAGAAAAATATCTATAATAAATAGTGGAAAAAGCCGAGCAATGGTGGCGCATGCCTTTAATCCCAGCACTAGGGAGTCAAAGGTAGGTGGATCTCTGTGAGTTCAAGGTCATCCTGATCTACAGAGTGAATTCCAGGACAGCCAGGGCTGTTACACAGAGAAACCCTGTCTCAAAAAACCGAAAGAAAGGAAGGAAGGGAAGGAAGGAAGGAAGGAAGGAAGGAAGGAAGGAAGGAAGGAAGGAAGGAAGGAAGGAAGGAAGGAAGGAAGGAAGGAAGGAAACCCTGTCTCGAAAAACCTAAATAAATAATGGAATAAAATAATGTCCATTCATACCCCCACCAATACCTTCAGCAAAGAAAACAAGCCATCATCCTTAACCAGATATCATTCACAAGAAGCCCATTACACATGCTTTTATTTTTTTATTCAAAATGTGACTGGCTTGACCATAAAAGATGGTAACGAGCATGCCTGCTTCCAGTGTTGGCACAGTAAACATTTTAGGTCTAACCAAGGTAGTAAACCACAAAGACAAGAATAAACATCAAGAGGCAGAGCCCACAACACCTAGAGAGCCCACAACACCTAGAGAGCCCATAACATCCAGAGAGCCCACACCACCCAGAGAGCCCATCACCACCCAGAGAGCCCATCACCACCCAGAGAGCCCATCACCACCCAGAGAGCCCACACCACCCAGAGAGCCCACACCACCCAGAGAGCCCACACCACCCAGAGAGCTTACACTACTCAGAGAGCCTTCAAATTACTGGAGTTTCAAAAGTTCTGCTGTGTGACTGTCTACAAGCTCACTTTGTTGACGTAATTAACGTCTCTGTACACCAGCTGAAGGTGAAGAGACATTGCCCAGGAAGCCATTCTGAGGAGTAGCAGAGTGTTCATTATTAGGTGGCTGTTTACTGTGCAAGAAAAGCCACGGAACAACAGAACCCATTAGGAGTTTATTAGGGAAGGAGAACAGGGGGTGGTGCTTAGGCCTATGGAAATGGTTGTGCAAGGAGAGAGAGAGGGGAGGGTCTGTGACCTGCTTTCTATGGATTCCCCTGCACATGCACATACGGGCTTACATAGCTACGCCATGCATGCATGTGCATAGGTTACCTGATCACGCTGCATGAAAATTACGTGACCACCAGTGCACGGATTATGTATGACATAAGGCCCCCGAATGACTAAGCATCTTGCCTGGCCACTAGACAGTGCATGTGTGGTCATGTAGCTAGTGGAGTGGCCAGGAATTCCAACACAGAGACTCTGTGAACCCAGGAATTAACCTAAAACACAGTATGCAAGGATAGAGAAGACGCTCAGAAGCCCAAGTGACCTGAATGAAGGAGAAAGGGCATGCTGTTGGTGAAGAGAAAAACCAAGACTGAAAAGGCCTGGCTGTCCTCAAACTCATCCGTATATTCATGCAATGTAGCAAAAATCCTAACAATAGTATTTGTTCCTTGATAGTCTGGTTCCAAAATCACTGGAAAATGGGGTAGAGTGGGACAGAAGGTTACAAGTTTTTTGAAATGAATATGAAGTGAAAATTTGCAGTGCACAGGTTTGGGGGCCCAGCAGCAGGAGGTGTTTATAACCTATACTTGAAACAGTGAAAAATAAAATTAGAAGGTATAAAAGGAAATCTTTACAGACAGAATTCTCAAACAGAATCTCCCTGCCCCAAAATAAAAGATGACCTTGATTTACGTTTAAACTGAATTGTATTCCAGGGAAACAAAAGTGATCATAAATAATGTTTATAAAAACTAAATAAAGGGGAAATACTTGGAACATGTATTAGAAATACTATAAAATCATTTATAAAACCATTTGAAAGAAACAAACCTAACAGATGTATCCAAAGTTTATTAATGAGGAAAGCTCGGAAGAATAAATAAAGATGGTTTAAAAAAAAAAACATATGAGGAACCTTCTTCATAGTCAAGGAAATCACCCATCAACTTCACAAAAGCTTTTAAAGTTTAAAGTGAGCAATTAGTATCCCACCTGGGAAGATTATGAACAGGTGATGGTCACTTTAAGGGAGGGTCATATGGCAGTATCTTTGAAACTTAAAATGTAATGTGAAGTTAGTTTTAGAAGTTCTGACTCATTTTGAGCCACATATATTCATACATGCTAGCCATAAGTTCTTAGACCTTCACCATTAGGTGATTCTGCTGTGCAAGCACCACAGCGTGAGTGTAGCCATCTCTTATGGCTGCAACGCGACTCCACTGCATTCGCTGTATGTGACGGACATCAAAGTGGTCTGTTTAAATTTAAACCAGCATTATCACAGACATCGGTGTGTGCACTGGGATCTTTCTATGTTATGATGTCACTGACATTAGGAATTCCCAGCTACACTCTAATCTTACAGGCCCATCATAAATATAGTCTGTGGTTAGCAAAAACATCATTATGCAGTGATTAATTTTTTTTCATTCAATTTATCTGGCTCAGCTATTAAAGGTTAGGGTCACAACCGAATGGACATTTGATATGCTTATGATCATTGAAAAATGAGGGCCCTGTTTACTGGATAGGATAGGAAATAGTCATACTTTTCATATTGTTTTTTTTCCCACCTATTTTAATACGTCTTATCCAACACCAAATCTGTAATATTTCCAAGTCTCTTTTGAACCTTTTGTTTCATATTAGATGTCAAGCTGAGTTTCTATTGGAGCATTTGGCAAAAATGTCACCTCTATGTAAACTTCTAGACCCCCCTCCCCGCGCCTCCACCGTCTAATATTTTAATTCATTTTGTCTGGAATAGACACCAGCCTAGCCTACTTAATTACTAGGAAAGTATGTGGTGGTACTTGCTGTCTCCTCCATGCAGTCCATTCATAAATCTTTCTCTTCTCCTCCCCAGGTATGGAGCAGTTTCTGCAGGAATGCTATGTGCCCTTACCACCTTGTCCCAGCAGCTAGAGAATGAAAATGCTGTGGATGTCTTTCAGGTGGCAAAAATGATCAATCTTATGAGACCTGGAGTATTCACAGACATTGTAAGTAGTTTGCGTGTGTGTCAACCCTATTAGATGATCCTTAGATCTGTCCTATCGACCAGGGGTTCTCAACTAGGGGTGTCACCAGAAGACATCTGGCAGTACCTGGAGACTTACTGGTTTTCACAACTGGAAAGAGGTTCTGTGGCATTTAGTGTGTAAAGGCCAAGGCTAGGGTAAACACCCTGCCATGCATAAGACAACCCTTGCCAATACAGAATTATCTAACTCAAATATCAGTAATGTTGTAGTTAAAAAGACAACTCTGCTTAGGAGTAGTGTTGTCCAGTTACAAAACAGGGATATTCCATTATCTTGTGAGCCACCAACCCTGAAACAGGTTCTATGCTAACAAAGACAGAATGATATGAAGAAGGTATTGAGCTCAGTGATTCAAGTGGTTGCTTTTAAAGTTTCCCAGATAAGATTTCTGCTATTCTTGTCTCTCTGGGAGTGTTTTTAGAAGTATATTTTGATCAGTATTTGCACCTTAGATAAAATGTCTGACCCTCTGTTCCCTCCTGTCTTCCAGGAACAATACCAGTTTGTCTACAAAGCAATGCTCAGCTTAGTCAGCACGAAAGAAAATGGAAATGGTCCCATGGCAGGGGACAAAAATGGTGCTGTGCTAACTGCAGAAGAATCAGACCCTGCCGAGAGCATGGAGTCTCTGGTGTGACTGGACCCCAGAGGGCGCTTCATTTGTAAACTTCTGAGACTTGTAAAGACAGAACTTTTTTGAGGCCTTTTTTGCCAGACTCTAGGTTATACAATAACCCAGTTACTTTTTTACACTGATAAAAGTTTTGATATTTATTTTTTGCCATTTTATGTCTTAATGGTATCCTACTGAGCATTTGCACCTGTTCATTTCACACAGTGAAACGCAAGTTTACTAGTTTGCACTATATGATCAGTGTTACTGCCTATACTCTAACGCTACAGCAAACCCTGATGTGACATTCCATGACAACATACATGCTACTATTGTCTCCGTGCAGTGAAGGTCTTTGTTATGACAGTGAATCTCAGTTTTGTTGTTATTCTAAAGCAACTGCATTTCCCTCGCAGGCAGCCCTGTCCTTCCTCAGTCTCCCTCAACTTTTAGGCACTGTTCAATACTACATGCCTTCTGTTTTCATGGAGTGGATGGGCATTGTTTCCTTTTGCAGGACAGCAGGTTAATGGGAGCCCCTAAGAAGTCTGTTAACGTTAGTTCCATTTGTAGTGGTTGAGGAATCCGCTAAGAAGAGGGCTTAAGAGTTGCTTCGTGTGAACATCTCTTATTAGTTACCAAGTTATATTCACAGTTGAAATGTGTCAAAATAAAGAATCATTCTGTATTACAGATTTCACAGTAGCTATGTGAACAGTGTGTGTTATTTCCATTTTGACTCTCTGAAGTAGCTACACCCTAAAATCAGGGGTGTCTTTTACAATGGAAAGGTGGCACTATTTCATACAATTTACTTATGACACCCTTTAGTTATCTCCACGAAGGCTTTTTGGTATATAGTACCATACCTCACAGTAGCTACAACGACAGGAAAAATAGGTATTTAAATTTAAATTTAGTATTCAAAAACCCCTACTAACTACTCCTATAGCAATCTAATAAAAAAAAAACTACCTATAGACAGCGTTCTTTTCTTCCTTTTTTTTGCCAAATGTTTTGTAATCTCTTAATTACATAATACTCTACTTAAGATTGAAATGGAAATATATTTGGGACTAAATTCCTACAGATGAATTGGTCTTATTTGGAGAGAGAAATTTGAGTCTTAAAGAGAAAATTCAGTTTTTGAATGAAAGGTGACGTCTCCATTTTAGAGTAGGTTTAATGAGGAGAGTTGTGGATATTCAGGAGCAGATGCTCATCTGTAAGGGTGACAAGAGTCATTAGTCAGCGCTAGGTCTGGCTGGAGCTGCTTTCAGCCCATAGTACATCATGGGAAAACTGGAAGCATTATTAAGAAATTTCATTTGAGTTTGTTTAAAACAAAACAAAGCCCACTGTGCTATTCACCAAGATCTGTATCTTCCTTTTCCTGTCTCCTTTCTGTCAGACTTGAAATCATCCCCCAAGATTGGGCCCATGAAGAACAGGGTTTGATTTCCTTATTATGCCAGGAGCTTGACCATGATGCCCTGTGGCTGCCATCACTATTGGGGCGGCATTGCCGCAGGAATGAGGCTTTGTTCTTCTTGAGTTGTTTTTCTGAAGCTAGTCACAGAAGTGCTGGAGAACCAGAGCTAAGGAGAGGGTCACAGGCCGAGTCCAAGGGTTTCCGTGCATGGGCCAGGCCCACGGAGTCCCATGACGATAATTAGTGCAGACTAACCTAAGCTTTTGAGCACACAGAGAACTGACATGGTGGCTTTCAGGAATGGTGACCAGTTAAGCAAAGTCTGTATGGTGTCTGCTAGATAGCACACTGAGCACATTTACTAACACACACACACACACACACACACACACACACACACACACACACACACACACGGCCCACCAGAGGTATCACCCTGCACAATTCAAAAAAGGACTGACTGTAGATACAACTCTAGGGCTGAGCGAAATAATGAAGGAAAAAGATCATGGTAAGAACTAGAATTTCCTAGCCAATTAAGCATTCTTTTTGCTGTACACAGATCTGATATTAGCTGATGTTCTTCAGTTAGATGCTCAGTGGTTCTGCCATTCGGAATTAACATTCGAGTTGGAGTTCACAGTCTCACAATTTTCCCTTAATAAAAGTAACATTGTTTAGAGGACAAATAGCAAGTATTACTTTCTGTGCTATTCACACAGGAGATCCGATTTGTGGAACTGCATACTCCTCACAACTCTGGGACTATCTCTTACATGCGAAAGAGAAAGGAGGAACGAGGGGTGAAATAAGTAGACCAGAAATAAAATCAAGGGGGATCAGAGGCTCTCTGTGGGAAGACTGTGTATCCACAGCAGCCTTGAACCAGAGCCTGCAGATCCCAGCCTACCCGCCTATGAGCAGTTACTATATGCCCATTTTGCCAAAGTGGTCCACACACCCTTCACCGAGGATAGTTACCTTCAGCCGTCCTCAGCCCTCACTTGTACCACAATTCTTTGCTATTGGCAAAAATATTTTGCATCTTTCCAGAGGCAGGGTGTTCCAAAGATGTTGTTTTCTTTGAGACATAAGCGCATTGCTTAAGTACGTAATCAGGTTGTAACCACTTACAGTCAAGGGGAGAGGATAGAGCTGTTGCTGGAGCTAATGCTCCTGAGCTAAGCTGTTTGCATGTATGATTTACCTCCAGGGAAATGAAGTACACAAACCAAACGAAGCTGAATTGTTAAAATTAGATCAGGCGGACATGCTGGACATCAAAGATGTACTAAAGACATCGAACCATAATACCATCCTTAATGTTTTTATATGTTACCTTCTGAATTTCAAGAATAGTACAGTTCATTCAGTGGTTCTCCTAAACTTTGTGCAAGCTTTGAGAGCCTGTTTGAATAGAAAAGTCCAGCGGGGTCAAATGAAGTTAAAGTGTTCAAGATGAAAGAAGGGTCATGGTGTTCAAGGTCTGGTTGGTCATTTTTACCCCAGAGTGACAATGAAATCAGTAAGATTTGTTTTATAAAGACACAGCACAACTGCCTTCTCATGACTTTTTCTTAATTGCATATATATTTAAAATTAAAATATAGATACCAATTTACCAAAGATACACATTACTAATTCTAAGCAAAAAAATAAAAATAAAAAAGAAACCCAAATGCATCATAATTTAAGAAAAAGTAATCAAAATGTAGTTGTCTTAAGGCTTTTGCAATTAAACTGGAAAATGCATTTTCAACCCCTATGTTCTAAATTTTCTGTTCAAATGGTGCCAGTAAATTTTTATATGAAGGGGAAAATGCCTGCTTTTTTTCTTTATAGCAGCTATAATTTCACATAACCCTTTGCAATTCCCTTAGTTACCACTCAACACACAATATTGGCTTTATTTATCTCTAGAAAGAAGGCATGGTAAAAAAAAAAACAAGAAATTATAATGACATTTGGCCTCTACTTTTGTCTTAGCTGTTAAAAGGTTTTTAGTATTTTTGTTAAATATTTGCAAAGGGAAGCATTTTCTACAGAGGATAATTAATTTCAAGAAATAATCTTGAGTTTTAAGAAATAAACATCTCCAGAAAAGGAGACAGTCAATTTTATAAAATGTCGTAACTCTCCAACATTTGGGGTAGTGACTCCTTTTTTGTTAAGACATTTGAAACTAACAAGCAGCCATTGTTTCTAAAGAACTCCACCTTCATGCCGACTCGTGTTTCTTTCACTTCATTTTCAAGTAGCTAAAATCATTAAAACTGTAAATATTTTGTTGCTTGAGTAAGCATCTCCTGGGAACTTTGTATCTATGGTATATAATCATAGAATTTTATATTTTCATATAAAGCTAATTTTTTTCTAGTTTCAACTATGTCCTAGTTTTTTGTTTTATTTTGTTTTGTTTCCGTGGTGGATATGTGAACTTCTGTGTTCTAAAGTAGCGAGAACCATCTTTGCATTCCAAAAGAATCCAGCGTGTGTTCTTCTTTTGAGGCAGTGATTGTGAAAGTCGGGCTTTCTTTTTAATTCCATTGACCATTAGTGCAATAGCAATTAGACATGACTAGTCACTGAGTACATTTGTCGCATTGACTCATTTTGAAAAAAGTGATTTTTTTTTTTAAGATTTGTTCCGTGGGGGCAGGGGTTTTATAACCTGAAAATTTTTCCCTTTTTCCTTCTGTTTTAAACTATATCAAATCATTCTATTATAGTGTTATTTAATATGTAAATTGTATTGCTATACATAAAATAAAGTATGGTTTTTGATGTACTCCTTAGTATTGAGCATTTCTATGAAAGATTCTGCTCTCTTTTATGTCACATTAGCACTCAGCAGCCCTCCATCAGTTTTTACTGTAATAAATGAAAGGTAGTAGTCACCTTTATAAGCAAAAGGACATGCTCCTGCCATGCTGATTTACTCTCCATTCATCCCTCCTTTTACAAGAAAACAAGACAGAGTCTTACCAGTGTCAAACATCCTCTACCTTGTGACTTCCGCCAGCATCTTAACCACACCGGGAGCAACTTCCACTCTTAACATTTACTGTCTAGAATGAAGGGTGGATCACGGCAAGACATTTGTAGAATCATGGAGTAGACATAGGATCAGTACAAGTTCTTCTATGTCAGGACATGGGTTCTTAGCTTACCATTCTCTCTCAGGTGTGTATTGGTGTGTGGGGTGTGTGTGTGTGTGTGTGTGTGTGTGTGTGTGTGTGTGTGTGTGTGTGTGTGTACCTGTCCTGTAAGAATGTATCTCTTTCTCAAGTTATATCCTTGGTGACTCCAGTGTACTGTTTTAGAGGCTCACAAATCAATTGTCTGTATTGACCACAAATCTGGTCAGGCAACAGGCATATTTTACTTGGCCTGTATTTTTGCTAATTCCTATTGGTTACCAACATTTAAAATATACACTTTTTACATTCATATTTCAAGCTCCTTTTCAAAACTGGATGGTGGTACGGCAGCAGGCTCCCAGTCCCCCCAGTCTCCCACAGCAATAGTGTCTGGTCCCTATCAGTCATTTAACCTTTTGAGGTTCGGTAAGCAGCCTCTACACTATCCAGTCAGAATCCCAGGGCCATTTTCATCTCAGGCTGGTGAACCAGCCACCAAGAGCAGCAGCAGGAGCCTTGAATGGACCTGTCATTCACACCCTGCCAGTCAGAGCACAGTGGGCTCAACATCCTTGACTCCCTTGGAGTCAACCAAGATGATACTGTTAAGTAAGACATTATGACTTCAGACATAGTTCAATCAATTGTCCGACTCCATGGCTTTGATTGTACAGAATATATCTCTAAACTAGGAAGCTTCATTTCTGTTACTGAGAATTGGGAAGGAGACGCTGAAGTAAAACTCCACCTTCTTACACACTAAATGTAAAATTTCAATGACCTAGGAACAAGTCACAGATGACACAGGTTCAAGTTGGGTGTCATGGGTGATAATCCTAGCTCTTGGAAGGATGAGATAGGAGAATCCAGAATTAAGGTCATCCTTAGCTACACAAATGAATTCAAGTCCAGCATCATTTCATAACACCTTTCCTCCAAACCACGGACACCAAGACTAATGAAATTCTAGCTTTACTTTATATATCCTATGTTAAAGGTGAAAACTAACAAGTTAAAAATAGCTTTTTGGTTATGACATTTCATTTGGCAGGGAGAATAGTAAAAGCTGCATTTTATCTAGAAATGCTGCTTAAAAACTGAGAAAGAAGAAATTAATATTAGCTGATATGGCCTTGGTGTAAGGTCAGACTTTGTGCTACAATCCAGTCTCTTGTTTTAACTAAAGATACCTTTAGCATCATGTAGAGTCCGTCTCACAAGCAGTTGCTGAAATGCAACCTAACGTTAATCCACAGACTATACAGTAGCTTTACTCTTAGAATGTAAAGTCACTGACAAAGGCCTTTCAGTCACATGAGGTGGAGAGTACAGTTTAGTCTTCAAAGGGAGTCCTTTAAGCTGAGGTAGACCACTTGCCTAAACTGTGTGGGGCCTGGGCTCAATCTCCAGTAACGAAACAAAAGTTCAATTCCTTCAAAGTTATTTCTTGGCATGGCTGGGGAGGTGGTTCTGTGCATTGAGTTTGGTTCTCCTATGTAAAAGCTAGGTCCTGTAGCACACAGCACCTGTAACTCTAGAGCAGGGGAGCTAGAGGAGTGAGTGGAGAGGAATCTCTGGCTTGCCAAAGCAGCATGCTCCAGATGGAGTAAGACATACCGCCATCTCAGAACTAGGTGGAGACAACAGAGGGAAACACCAACATTACTCAAACACGCACACAAAATTAAAAAAACAACACACTTTTGACATTTCAGTACAGATGGATTTTAGACAAAGAATAAAAAGACAGCTGTGCACCATTGTGAGCAAGTAAGTAACCATTCACCACAGATACGCCTTCTGGCTGCACAATGCTCACAAATTCCTTTTATTCTACATTAAACTAGTTACTGGAACAACATTTACCAGTGGGTGGAGAGAAATGGATGAGGAATATGGAGTCAAACAGCCAATGTCTAGACAGTTCTGCCACTTACTGACAGTGATCCAGGGAAAGTTACACCATCCCTCCCCAAGTGCCACGTTCCTCTTCTAGAGAACACAAAAACTAATGTTTACCTAGTTAAGCAGCTGGGAGAAGTAAATGAGGTTATTTGTGCAAAATTCTGATACAGTGCATAGTGAGTACTCAGTATCATCCACTAAAAGATCTCATAGTTTTATTTACTTAGTATATCTATGATCAATCATGAAACAAAATATTACTTTAGCTTTCTCATATTCATAACAATGCCAAGAGATTTCAATACTGAGGAGTCTCCTCCCCGCCATGTTCCTTCTTCCTATACTGGAGTTTGAACCCAGGATCTTGTGTGTGCTACACAAGTCTCTATCTCCTTGAAACAGCCTTAGCCCTTTAAAAACAGGGTCTAGCTAAGCTGCCCATGCTGGCCGGGAGCTCACTCTGTGGCCTAGGCAGGCCTTGAATGTTCAGTGTTCCCGCAGCAGCCGGTAAAGAAGTTAGACTGCCTCTACGAGTTGAAATCTCTCTCCGAATTCTGAGAGGGCGGTTTTAAGAGAACAAGCACTCCCACAACTTCAGAGAAGTGAAACAGAAAGCTTCGCGCTGTTTTATTCTTCAGCACCAAGTGCAGAATGCAAGTGTGGAATGCAGTGCAGCACTGTGAGGAGATGGGCGGGGTTCTATCCCTGGCTGGAGTGCAGCACTGTGAGGAGATGGGCGGGGTGCTATCCCTGGCTGGAGTGCAGCACTGTGAGGAGATGGGTGGGGTTCTATCCCTGGCTGCAGTGCAGCACTGTGAGGAGATGGGCGGGGTGCTATCCCTGGCTGCAGTGCAGCACTGTGAGGAGATGGGTGGGGTTCTATCCCTGGCTGCAGTGCAGCACTGTGAGGAGATGGGTGGGGTTCTATCCCTGGCTGCAGTGCAGCACTGTGAGGAGATGGGTGAGGTTCTATCCCTGGCTGGAGTGCAGCACTGTGAGGAGATGGGTGGGGTTCTATCCCTGGCTGCAGTGCAGCACTGTGAGGAGATGGGTGGGGTGCTATCCCTGGCTACAGTCTCCATGCTGTGCAGCGTGGGCATGACACTGCACACATGTGGAGGTCAGAGGATCTTCAAGAGTACGTTCTCTTCCTCACAGGATCTGGGAAATAAACTCCTGTCATCAGGCTTGGCCAAAACTGTACCTGCTGACCCATATTGCCACTCCCTTAACCAACTTATAACCACTAGAATTGCCGCTAATTTCTACACATCACATTCATGACCGTAAGCCTCGTTTATTGGCCACTGTAGACACACTAGGCCTCTTTGGCCACTCACTGTTATCTTTTGAAGAGGATTTCCTCTTTTTGTGGACCTAAGTTAGAGCCATTTCCTCTTTTTGTGACATTCCTTAATCCTATGAAGTGTCTACCTTTAGTGTAGAGCATATTTCCACACAAGTAAGACCCCTTGTTTCTTACACAAAGATTTAGTGACTGAAGGACTGTTATGTGAGTTATGGTCATTTCTCTTATAACTGTTGTATTTTAACAACACATTTTATAATGCATTCCAATACATCACACTTCCATGAATTATTACAATGTTTCAAAAATGACGATGTGAAAGCTCCTGTGGAATGAGGTTTTATAACAAGAGAATAGATCTGAGCCATTTTTTTCATGGAAAAAATGAATTACAATCATTTGAATCTAAGTAGAATTAATCACTAGTATTCATATAACCAAATGTTCGCATTGGTTGCAAGTATATGAACTAGATTTTGTAGTCATCCTAAGTAACTAATCAACTTCTTAAAGTTTCTTCAATGCTACTAAGCAAATAGCTCAAGCAGATAAAGAACTTCACACTCTACCCCCTTTGTCTTTCTCATTTCTTAAGTATCTTTTTTCCTTATTAAGAATTTTTTTATTCATTTTACATACCAACCACAGATCCTCCTCTCTTCCCACCTCCTGCCTGCCCCCCAGCCTCCCTCCTCCGAAAAGGTAAGGCCTCCCATGGGGAGTCAGCAAAGCCTGGTACATTCAGCTGAGGCAGATCTAAGCCTGCATCCACACTGTGAAAGCTGTCCCACCATAGGTAATGGGCTCCAAAAAGCCGGCTCATGCACTAGGGATGGATCTTGATCCCACTGCCAGGGGATCCTTTAAGCAGACCAAGCTACACAACTGTCTCACTTATGCAGAGGACCTAGTCCAGTCCTGTGGAGGCTCCACAGCTGTTGGTCTAAAGTTCATGAGTTTCCACAAGCTTGGATCAGTTGTGTCTGTAAGCTTCCCCATCATGATGTTGATGCCCCTTACTCATAGACTCCCTCTTCTCTCTCTTTGACTGAACTCCTGGAGCTTGGCCTGGCACTTTGTAGACGAATTTCTAAATGGTCTTATTAAATAAAAAACATGGAGCCAAATATAACCTTAGAGATCAGAGAAATAGGAAAAGCCATCAGTCAACCTTACCTCATCAACTCTGCAGCTTCTAAATGTGAGCTACTTCCTGTCTACCCATGCCTTTATATGCCTTGCTTTTCTGCCCTCTCATTAACTCTTAGCCCAGCTACCTCACTTTCTTGTCACTGTCTGTCTGTACAGACCTCCAGGTCTCTATGGTTGGTACTGGGATTAAAGGGGTGTGTCACCTTGCTTGGTTGTTCCCTAGTGTGTCCTTGAACACACAGGGACCCTGCCTGCTAAGTGATCAGATTAAGGGCGTGTGCT